ATCTTCTTCTTGTGCATCCACAGCGCTCCATACCGCACCAGCAAATGGGCGCCGCAACCAGCGCAAGCAGCCCCCCTCCTTTCTACAGGTGAACCCTTGCCACATGACATCCTTTTATCTTTATAACTGAATATTTATTTTTCTTTATTTCTAGAAATAATTGCAAGTCTTATTGTTTGTTTATTAAAGCAGTTCACTCGAAGGATTTTGGTAGATAATAAACAGTACTTTATCATTCGCCTTTGTCTGCGCCGCGTAGAGACCCGACAGTCTACCAGGCTGAAGCGCCACTCGGCCCTCAGCTGGCGGACGAAGATGGAGAGCCCAAGACCGACCTGGACCGCCGCGGCCAGCTCGTGGCGCGACTCGCCTCCATCCTCTACCTCGGTTCGCGCCTCCCTTCTTCCTCCAAACGCCTGATCACCACCCACTCACCCTATGATGTCCGTCTGTGTGCGCGTGTGTGTGTGCGTGTGTGTGTGTGTGTGGTGTGTGTGTGTGTGTGTGGTGTGTGTGTGTGTGGTGTGTGTGCGGTTACAGAGAAACTGAATCAGGGCAGCAAGCGGGAGAATGAAGGGAACAAGAGCACTCACGGCGCCGAACCAGATAAGGGCGGCGAAGGAGAACGCGAGCGGCGCCAACGCCTGAAGGCTCTTCTCCTCCACATCACCGACGACGTACGCGTGCGTGTTGTCGTGTGTTGTGTGCTGTGTGCTGTGCTTTGTGTGTCTTGACGGCCGTCTGGTGGTGGCCGGCAGGAGGGCGAAGAGTTACACGGACCGAAGGGCGTGGCGTTCTCGACCGACGCCAAGCGTCTCCTCCAGACTTTCTTCCTCGAGGTACCCCCATTATCATGCCGTCCATTGCGCTTGTACACGTGTCGTGTCGTTGATCGTGTCGTGTCGTGTCGTGTCGTGTCGTGTCGTGTCGTGTCGTGTCGTGTCGTGTCGTGTCGTGTCGTGTCGTGTCGTGTCGTGTCGTAAGTAAGTAACATGTTTTTTTGTTGATGTGCGCAGGCGGCGGGCATTTTGACAGAGCAGGCGGAGGGGCTGGCCCTGGAGGCCTGGCAATCGCGCCACCCCGAGCGCACCCGGTCCCACCGCGACCACCACCAGCAGCAGCCCAGGCCCGCGGCCGCCGACTCGTCCGCCGACGTCGGCCACAACGCATCGTCCGATCATCCGGTCGACACAGCGAGCGACGACAACGAGGAGCAGACGTCGGGCCTGTCGTCAGCGTCGTCGTCGTCGTCGGTGGCGGTGATGTCGTCGACATCGCCCCTGTCGACATCGCCGCCGGACGACTCGTCGCCCCCGATCTGCTCGTCCCTCTCGTCGTGCTCCTCCTTCGCCTCCTGCGACACTCTGCCGCCGCCTTCGTCGCTCTCGCTCTCTTCGTCATTCGTGCCCGTTTCGTCTACGCCTACGACGGCGTCGGCACATAGCCAGTCGCATGCCATGCATTCCTCTGCGCCGATCGACACCCGGCGGACACGAGCGGCCCCGGCCGCGATTGGCCTCGATCAACCCTCCGTTTCCTGGCACCACGTGCGTTCCCCTGCAACCAACCTGGTGAGACCCAGGAATTCCGGACATTCCCCAATATTGAGAAATTACAGTTTCATGCTAATTTCTAGCGCGTCGGTCGGTGCAGGTGGTGAAGGCTGTGGAGCTCCTGCTGCAGCTGCCCCTCGACGGCGGCGGCAGCGGCGAGGCGTCGGACGAGGGGCCAGGCCGGGCCTCTACGCACGGCGCCGACATCGATGGCGACATCAGCGCAGCCGCGGACGCGACGCTCAGCGCAGCCCACAGACGACGCGAGAAGGCGCGCAGCCTCAGCGCCCTCGGCCGCAGTACGCCCACCCGCTGTCGTGTGTGTCTTTTGATTTCTCTGAAACGCACGCACGCACACACACGCACACGCACACGGCAGATAATATGGAGGACCCGCTGCTGCGCCACTACTCCTTCTTCCGCCTCATCGACCAGAACGGTACCGCACGCCGCCGCCTTTGAGCGACCGCAGCCCCGGGTGACTCACATGGGCGAGCTGGCCAACGGGGGATGGTGCAGTGCCGGTGTTCCTGCGGTTGTTGGAGGGCGAACAACAGCGGTGGGACTTTGTATCGAAGCAGCACGGGGTGGTCATCCACCGGCGAACCATCGCGCCCGCCCCGCGCGGACGCAACATCCACTGCTTCCGAGGTGACAGCTCTCTTTCTCGTCGTCGTGTGCGGTGGAGCACGCACTCACACACTCATGTCGGCGCAGGGGTGGGCGTGATCAGGGCGCCCCCGTCCGTTGTCAAGGAGTACCTGTTCGAGCAAAAGGTGCGAAACACGACACACGACACACGACACACGACACACACGACACACGACACACTAGATGACACGCACACGATGAGCGCGGCGCACATGGCCTGACGCTGCGCTTGGTGATCAGGAGTGGGCGCTCTGGGACTGCTACGCGAAGGATTGCCGGGAGGTGGAGCGACTCGACAGCTGCACCAAAATCATGCAATTCCGGTACCCTCCCCTTTTAGTCAAGACGCCTTGTTGCCAACGTCGGTCAGTTTACCGTCGCCGTGGAACTCACCGGGTTACCATGCAACACGCCTTATTTACATTTTTTTTGTGCAGGTATGAGACGGAGCGGTGCTTCGTGCAGCACCGGCGCGACTTTTGCGCGCTTCTCCACCTCGTGCGGCGCCCCCGCGGCGCCATCCTCCTCGTACGCGCGCCATCTCACCTCCCATAGATCCCACAACCAACCAACCAAGACGTATGCGGTGTGTGCGGTGCGCGTATGTGTGCGGTGTGTGCGGTGGTGATGCGTGTGCGCCGATTTAAAGTTTGGGCAGAGTGTGGAGCATCCAATGTGTCCGCCACTCGAGGGCTGGACGCGCGGCGTCGCCCTCCACTCGGGCGCCCTCATCGAGCCCAAGAAGGTGACTCTCCCGCCTGCCACCCCCCTACAGCGCGTTGCGTGCGTGTCGTGCGCTTGTGTGTGTGTGTGTGTGTGTGTGTGTGTGGACTCACGTGCGTGTGCGGTGATGTCACACGGAGCAGGATGGAGAGGGCAATCTGGTGTCGAAGGTGACGATCATCACCCAGATCGATCTGGTGGGCCTTCCCGCGGCGATCGTCAACATGGTGCAGGTCCAGCGACCCCTCCTCGTCGCCCAAATCCAGCAACGCCTTGATGATGCCGCCAACCAATCGTAAATATGTCAATATATACTTTCTGTATTAATTTATGAAATGACATTCAATGTAATTGTACGTTGCACCTGACATTTCTTACTCACTTTCTAATTGTTGCTTTTTAGGTCACTAATTACCAAATTTGGACTTGACCTAATAGAGGCTGACACGTGGAAGATGCGAGAAAATAACTGAAGGGTCACGATAACAACACATCGCCAGTCCGTACCTCCAGACACAAGATGCGCTCGAACGCGTTGATCCTCTTTGCCGTCCTCTTCTTCGCCAGCACGGCGTTCTCCAGCAGTACCTACACACTCTCACTTACTCAGTGTGATCTGCTTCACACAAAGGCCTTAGTTCTGCTGATGATGGTGCTTCGAATGACTTCACTACAATTTAGGGCTCGCGCCTTTGGAGGTTGCCCAGGGCCCCAAGGTCGAGGGCGAGTACATCGTCCTCTTCAGCACCTCCCTCAGGGAAAACGGCTGTACTCCTCTCTTCTCTTTGTTTTTTTTTTTTTTTGTTTTATCTTTCGTTAATCAATTGAGACTTCTTTGATTCTTGTAATCTTAATGTAACTGGGAGGAGATATGTGTACAAGACTAACTTCCAACACTATGTTTGATGTTCTGATGATATGAAAGTCAAGGATGCCATTTCCTCCATGGTGGAGAGGCTGCAGGCGCTCGGTGACTCCAGCACGCTCATCGAGACCTTCGTCATTGGCGACACCTTCAAGGCTGCGCACGTCAATCTCAGCTACCCGTACGAGCCCCTTCACGCCTTCTTTGGCAAAGTTGATTTTCATTAATTTATTCACTGCTCCCCCCCCCAACACTCGGCCTGCAGTGGTCTTCTATCGGTCATGACCCACCCCTTGGTGAGGCTGGTCTCCGAGAACGGCGTGGTCACCATCGGCCACGAGTCCGCCTGCCACGAGCAGAAGGACGTCATCTGGGTGAGTGCACTGTGTTTTACATTCTTATATCTATCAATATAGTGATATATATGTATTTCTATATATATGGTTCTTTACTCACCATAAATGCCAAAAACAAAAAAAAAAAAAAAATAGAACTTGGACCGCATCAACACGCGCGCGATTGATCTGGTCGACGACAACTACCACTACAGCTGGGCCGGCGAGGGCGTTGACAGCTACGTCATCGACACGTACCTTGCATTCTTCTCCTTCTTCGTCTTCTTTACACTACAATGAAGAACTTACATTCTAATCATTCTTGAATGGCGGCTGCGCAGCGGTGTGCAGACGACCCACGTCGAGTTCGGCGAGCGGGCCGAGTGGGGCGATAACTTCTCCGGTGATGGCGAGGACCGCGACTGCAACGGTCACGGCACCCACGTGGCCGGCACCATCGCCGGCGAGCTCTACGGTGTGGCCAAGAGGACCAACATCATCGCCGTTCGATTCTCTCTTCCTGTTTCTCATTTCACCATTATTAGCCACGCGTTGGTAGTTGTTGACAGTTGTATGGTTGTGTGGTTGCATGTTGTGTTGTGTGCGGCCCACAGGTCAAGGTGTTGGCTTGCTCCGGCAGCGGAACGAACGCGGGCGTGATTGCGGGCGTGCAGTACACCGTCAACCAGGCCCACAGCCGCAAGAGGCCCTCCGTGGCCAACATGTCGCTCGGTGGCGGCCGCAGCACCCCAGTCAACGAAGCCGTTAACGGTACCCTCTCACCAAACCCAAACCCAAACTGCAAATTTCCGGAGTTGTTTCAAATTCCTTAACAACTTGTTTTGGCCAGCTGCCGTCAAGGAGGGCGTGGCCATGGTCGTGGCCGCGGGCAACAGCCGGGCCGACGCCTGCAGCTTCAGCCCGGCCAGCGCCGACCTCGCCCTGACCGTCGCTTCGACCGAAATTGCCGCCGTCGATTCGAGCGAAGAGCAGGAGGACAAGCGCTCGTCGTTCTCCAACTTTGGCGCCTGCGTCGACATCGCCGCGCCCGGCTCCCTGATCAAGGCCGCCTGGATCGACAAGGAGGGCATCGCGCCCAACCACGTCTACAACGTCATCTCCGGCACGTCGATGGCCTCGCCCCACGTGGCCGGCGTGGCCGCGGTGCTGCTCAGCGCCCAGCCGGAGCTCAAGCCGGCCGACCTCGCCGCGCGCCTGGTGGCCGACGCCAACCTCGGCATGGTCGACTTTGACTGCAACGGCAACGAGGCCTGCGAGAAGACCCCCAACGTCCTCCTCCACACCAACACCTGCGCCTAATCCAGAGAATGCACAAGATATTTCAATCATTTTGGTTTGCTGTTTTTTTGGTTTCCCAAACGTTTGGGAAATGGTTACGTTGCAACAGAAAAGGAAAGAGAGAAAGAAAGAGAAAAGAAAGAAAGAGGCCCTAGTGCTTGTCCTTGAGGACCAGGAACTTCTTGCCGGAGCCGGGCGGGATCTCGACCATCTTGGCGATGCTCTTGACGATGCGGGTGAGCTCGGGCTTCTTGGTCGGGTCGGCCGCGAGCTCGGCCTTGAAGTAGTTCACCACGCTCACCGTCGTCATCTGCTCCTTCCGCGCCAGCAGCTGCCGCACCGACTCCTCCGACAGCTTCAACGGCTCCTTCGCCTTCTTCTCCGCCGCCGCCGCAGCCGCACCTGTCGTTCCCCCCCCCCACGCCACCGCACACACGCAACACGCACCACCGCACACGCGACGCGTAAGCAATGAAATCAACAGAGTGACGGTGATGAAGAAGACGGTACCGAGCTTGGTGGTGGTGGCGTCGAGCTTGGGCTTCTTGGCGGCGGAGGCGGGGGTGGTGGTGGGCGAGGCGCCCTTCTTCCGCTTGGCGCCGGCCTTGGCGGCGTCCTTGGGCGACGAGGCCGCCGCGTCCTCCTTCTTCCCGCCCTTGCCCGCCTGCTTGTCCTCCTCGTCCTCCCGCTCCTCCTCCGACCCCTCGTCCTCCGAGTCCTGCATGCGCGACGTGTGCGGTGTGTGCGGTCGTGCATGTGCGGCGTGTGCGGCGTGCGTGTGTTATGAGAACGCGCACGCGGCATTGCAGACTTTGGTGGTGCGCTGCGTACCTCGATGTTGGCTTCATCTCCCTCGAGCTGCGCCAGACCTTTGATCAGTTTCCTCATGTCCTATGTGTCGTGTCGTTGGTCGTGAGTGGTTAGTAGATGAATGGAACTTGCCAGCCAGGCAGCTCACGCACGAGGTGGGCGCGAGTGTACCTGCTTGGTGGCGTCCTTGGTCTTCCTCTCCTTCTTCTTTTCCTCCTCCTGCGGCTGTTGCACGAATGAAGCGGCGCGTTAGTCCTCCATCCTCGATCCGTGTGCACGTCGTGCCGTGTGTCGTGCGTGCGTGTGTGTGTCGTGCGTGTGTGTGTCGTGCGTGTGTGTATTGTGTGTGTGTATTGTGTGTGTGTATTGTGTGTGTGTGTGTGTGTGTGTGTGTGTGTCGTGTGTGTGTGTGTGTCGTGTGTGTGTGTGTGTGTGTGTGTGTTGAATGGGAGGAGTGGCGATCAAACCTCATCAATGGCGCCGCCCTCGTCGTCGTCCCACGTCTCCTCAAAGTCGATGTCCTCCTTCTCATCGCCGACCTCCTCGTCCTTCTCCTTCTTCCCGCCCTTCGCCCCCTTCGCCCCCTTCTCCTCGTCATCACTCTCCGCACTGTCCGCCACGACACACAACACGACACGCACGACACGCACAGTCAATGGCACGCAGGCTGGGAAAAGGTTGGGAGCTGCGTCGTAGTGTGTGGGGGCGTACTTGGATTCGCCAAAGACGGTGAATCGGCTTTCGTCGACAAAGTCGCCGTCCTCCTTGTCCTCCGATTTGCCGCCGCCCTTTCGCCCCGCCGACGCCCAGCGACTCCCGCCGTGCTGCTTCTCCATTTGCTTCATCTGTTGCGTGCGTGCGTGTGCGCGGTCGCGCGCGTGCGCGGTGGTGCGTGTAAGACAAGACACGACACGACACACGACACCCTACGTCACACGTGGCAGCGAACAAGAAGTGGAGCACGCGCACGTGTTCCTCGGCTTCTTCGGCGCCCATGGGCACGAAGGGCCGCTTGGCGCGGAAGTGGTACCAGTCGCCTGTCGGCACCACCTTGAACTCGTTGCCCTGCCGCGCCGCAACCCAAAAGGAATAAAAATATTATAAAAAATAATAGAATGCAAGGTCACAAAACAAAAGCAAAATATTTTTAAAAATGAGAAAAATAAAAACAAACAAAAAGCGAAATGTACGTTTTGGATGAGAAGGAAGGTGTTGGAGCTCTCTCCCGCCTTGTTGATGCGCCCGACGTAGGTGTGCGCATCGCCGGTGTCGTCGAGATGGAGGGGGATGTTCTTCACATTTCGAGGATACATGGGACGCGAGAATGGGCGGCGCATGGTAGACGTCTTGGGTGGCGGAGGAGGCGGCGCCCCCTCCTCGGGCGGCTTGATCTCGTCTGCACGATAGGTGCGTAGCGGCTTGTTCCACGCGCCGAGATCGACAGGCACGTTGAATCGCGCTACGTTCCATTTCTCGCTCGCAGAGGCCATGCGTAGCACAAATTCCTTCATGGGGGGCTGCTGTGCAGCCGCGGTCCCGGCAGGCGAAGGTGCTGCAGCAGCTGACACAGGCGTCTGGGCCTGTCGCAGAGGGGTCGGTCCTCCTGACCCCATAGCCGGCACTTGTGGCCTGTTCATCATTTTCCTCTCTTCTACAAATCCATCTAGACCTTCTCTTTTTCTCTTTTTGTTTCTTTGGGACAAAAGGAAAAGAGCCAGGAAAAGAACTCACTTCTGGCCATGCTTTGTGCTGTGTGACAGGACGATCAGAGTGAGCCAGGCAATTGAAAAGGAAGATCTCACCAACAGCACACCAAGGGTATAGCCAAAGTGCTAGAAATCACCTCAGTATGGTGTAATACAAACATCCCCAAAGCAGGCCACAACCCCCCCCCCAACCACAAGAGGGACTGCAGCCTCAGAATGGTTTATGGCTGGTTTTATTGGCTGTCAATCTCATGAATGTGTATTCTATTGATCTTGGGTAGTGTTCCCTCCAGCAGTTCTTGATGTTGAGGCCTGCATTCTCCTTTTGTGCTTGTGGCCTTTTGATTACCAATGGTCGATTTTTTGTCATGTGGTGTTGAGGTCACCTCCCAGTAGGACCTCCCATCCATTGGCCTTAATTTTGTTAATCACTGGGAGGAGCTTATTGTTGAACCAAAGTGTTTGCTCTTCACATAGGCACCATTGGACAGAGTGGGTGAAGTTGGACATTGTTTGACTTCTACATCAGCATTGACTGTGGCTGCTTCAGGAGTATGGATGTCTTCCTGGCCAACCTGCGTCCTGGAGCCATGACATGATCAAGGGCAAGTACCCCAGTGCTCCAGGCGCAGACACTTCTCTTTGCAGGGTCTCTGCAGTGGCGGCTGCAGTGCCTATTCTGGGCCTCTCTTTCACATACTCCATTTGGGGCCTTTGGGCTTGGCAAAAGTCAAGATTACAGATTGAAAATTGCCATTAAGAAGGGCAAGTACTCTCAAGCATGATGGAATGAATCCATAGCCCTATGTGTGTGGTGTCACTGAGGGATCCCTGGAAGAAAAGAAAACTGGCCCATTCTGCGTTTTTAAAATGTCTCTATCTGTGATGTGTGGTTCAGATAAATATTCAAAACAGCTCAATACCCATAAACCTGGTTTTATCTGGTCATGAGGAATCATGGCCAGTAATAACCCACTCCTGCCCCTCAGAAGTGTAGTGACTTGATTGATTTCTTTCATCTTCAACTGTGGACCCCTGACCAACAATGTCAAGGCCTGACCTTTTGGGTATGCTTACCCTTCAACTTATTGATGGAGATTAATCTTCCTTCTTTTATTTAGATTACAATGTGCTGAAGCAAGGAATGGAGAAACTCTGGGAAAATCAAGGAAGGATGTTGAGGACTACATGAACATTGCAGACCAATGACATCAAGGCTGATTTACAGCTTGAGGTTGAGAAAGTCTACGACACAATTGCCAAGATTTGTCAAGGAGATGGCAAGGAGCTTGTGGAGAAATTTGTCACCATGATCTGCAAGAAGCTCCCTGACACTGTCTTCCTGGTCACCCTTTGACAGTACATCACTGATAAATACACTGCAATGGTACACATACCTTCCTTTTCCTTCATGTAGCCTGCTCACGTTATTCTTCCAAAGCTTTGCAGGCGCAGGAGGAGCATGGTCACAAGCCTCAATGAGGCCTATAATGCATGGAAGGAAGAGGATGTAGAGGTTCAGTTTTTGATACTTGCTTGTTAGGTGTTACTTACACCTCTACAGGTGACACAGAATGGCAAGCCTTGCACACCTTCTTTACATAGCCAATCCACCATGTGAGTGATTGATTCCTCACTGTGGCTTGATTCTGTGTCAGGCAGGTCTCCATCATTATGCACCCATTCCTTGCAATCCTGTATGGCAGCCCTTGCCAATTGCTTGGACCAGCACCACACAGCCATCTTCTCATTGATTGTACACTTTGCCTTTAGTGCTCACTTACTGTTGCTGATACATTCACCAACAGGATGCAACTCTTCTCTTGAGCTCAAGAACATGAAGCAGAAAGATGTCCTGGATTGTCAATCTATGAACAGTGTCTCTCCAACTTGCCCAATTGGGCTAGACCACAAGAGGGTGACTCAGAGTTGTGGGCAATCATCAGCACCCCTCGTCTGTGGTGAGCATGTGTGGCATTGACAGCAAATTGACCATTTCACTTGCTGTGCATCCTCCAGTGATCATGATATGAAGGCAAGTGACACAAAGGCAAGCAACACAAAGGCAAGTGGCACGAAGGCAAGAGACATGAAGGCAAGCAGATGACATGTTCTTTTGTTTTACTTTATTTATTTATTTCATACAGTGTAAATACATCATAAACCAACAAAGTTCGCATATTGTTCAAGTGTTTAAAGGCAATCAGAATCAGAATCATCAGGATGCGCCATGCCTCGCTCCACCAGGCCTGACCCTTGTCCACCTTTCTTGTCCCTTCTCAAGAGGTGAGAAAGGCGCCCACACAACTGCCACCTTTGGGCGCCAGCCGCGCCACATGGCCAACCCATATACGCTCAGTTCGCCAGCCACGCCAACACCAAAGGCTATTGTAAGGAAGATCTTAGCCCAAGGGGAAAGGTTCTTCCACACACTCATCATGTCAGTAGTTGGGGTCATCATCATTATGTGAACATCTCATAGTTTCAAAAGACTGGTTAAACTCTTGCCCCTGAGGTTCGTTTTTCCATTTCCAATTAATTTGTGGAAAAGGGGTCCCAGGGTCCCAACCACACATGTCCCAACTCTCCATCACTCAGGGAGACATCTTTCCCTGGAACAGAGCCTAACTTGATGTAGATAATAATTATGGGCTTAACTATATATAACTTGTGTAATCATGTCAACATCACTATCAAGCTGGACAATGGCCTCAAAGTCCCTACCTCAATTCATCATGTTGGCAGACCAAGAGCTCCAGAGTTATGACTTGGAATTTTTTCGCAGCCATCCACACAACAAATATCAGGTTTTCTCACTTGCTATGTAAGCTCATGACATTATGCCTTGTTCAAAATGCACTACAGAGGACAGGGTTCAAGGTGGGAAGGATTCAGCCCTGTACAATGCTTCATGGGGTCTAGGACCTCGCCATTTCTGAGGCATTTCACCACTTTTTTTCAGAACCACACAACAAAGATCACTCATTTTCCCACTTATGACACCTTCAGCACCAACAATGGCAATTTGTGCATCATCATCATGGAATACATGCCCAAAGGCAATATGTGATCATGCAGTCAAGGCCAGTACATGCACCAGCAGGGCGTGTTGCACCTGGACATCAAGCCAAAGAATGTGCTCATCTTGGCCAAGGGTGATGCCCTGTTGTGCAATTTTGGATTCTCATGATTTGTTGATTGGGATCTGATCCATGGATGACAAGGGGACATCATCCTGGCCAGATTCCACACACCCAGGGGAGCGTCACCTGAGGTGTACAATCTGCTGGCATCCATGCTGCGCACACCACCACACTTCCAGATCAGGATCAACAAAATCCTGGAGCATCCATGGGTCGCTGGTCCACATCCTTGTCCATGAAAACAATCCACACATGACCATCATTGGTCCACCTCATCCATAAAATGGCGCCATGCCCCCAACTTGGAAATCACACAAATGAATCTTCTTGACAAGCCCAGACCCTGTCTTGGCATGGCCATGGGCAGGATCAGAAACAGGGTGGAGCAGTATCACGAAGAGGCCAACCCTGTGGCAGTCTTCACCACCACCAACAAGTTCAGGCATGGGCTCAAGCTCATTAACAAGAGCAAACATTGGATCAGATGATCCACACCACCTTGTGATGGTCAATCACCACATCCCACAGCCCATCACTTGCAATAAGGACACTCACATCATCCAGCATGGCCCCCATGTCCATGGATCCAACAAACAGGATCAGCAACACAGCATAACCAGCTGTGTGGTGTTGGTGGTCAGTGGTGGTGGCAAACAGCTCATAGCTCTGGGTGTCGCCAAGCACACAGGTCATGGTGATGTGCACCCCATCAAGGCGCACATAGGTCTGGTTGATGGCATGCAGTATGAACAATTCCCCAGTTCACTCAATACACCAATCCTCATGCTCACTGGCTTCAGAATCGCCCACCCACGCCCACCAGAGCATAGTGCCACCTCCTTGCCACAAACACACAGTGGCCATGCTGCCCAACCCACAATGGTGACCATGTGGATCTGTGTTGAGCTGTTGTTGTGCCTTGTGCAGTGCTTGTGAGGTGGTGTTGCCTCCATGTCCATCCAACACCTCCAAAGCAAAAAATTGCTTTTGAGATGTCGACCACCCTCACCTTCGTGTGGACCCTCGCCGTGCTGATGCTGGGCCTGCTTGCCCCAATGGGCCGCAGAGACGACTGCGCACTCAGTCAAGCAGCACCCGGTCGATGGAGCTGCGATCAAGGACCTGCAAGGCGGGACATGGTAGTGGTTCTACACCAACACCACCAGTTCGTCGTGGGAGAGCTCCTACCTGATCTCGCAGCAGACGGGGATGTGCTTCCTGCAACGCGCAGACTTCAACTCGGTCGGAGGCTGCAATGTATTTAACGCCTACGGCTGGTGGCACCTGCAGGCCAGGTCCGATGGCTACGACACCACCTTCTGCGGAGCTATTTGCACCTTCAACCCCGCCCTGTAGTTCGCCGCAGCTGCTGCGCTATGCCCACTTCATAAACAGTTTCGTTACAAGCTTGATGGTGGTGGTCCAGTAAAGCAGGCCATTTTTCTTTTCTTTCTTTGGGCTTAAAAGGAAGGAAAATAGAAAACATGGAAGCTGTGCGGGTGGCCGAGGGTGGGCGGGTTGAAGTGGTGGAGGGCGCTCCCGTGCCGGTACTTGGCCCAGACGAGGTCCTAGTGCGTGTGCGCGCTGTCGGCATCTGCGGCACCGACCTCGAAATATGCCACGGGACGATGGGCTACTACACCCAGGGCCGCGCCCGCTACCCCATCGTACCCGGCCACGAGTGGGCCGGCCAGGTCGTGGCCCTGGGCACCACCTCCACCACCGGCGGCGGCCACGTCGACCACCACATTAAAGTCGGCGACCACGTGGTCGGCGAGACCTGTCTGCCCTGCTGGCGCTGCGACGACTGCGTCGGCAACAACTACCACCGCTGCGCCCAGCGGCGCGAGACTGGGATCATGAACAAGGACGGGGCCTTTGCCCAGTACCTCGCCTTTCCGGCCCGCAGTCTGCACGTGGTCGACCGGCGCGTGCCGTTCGAGACCGCGTGCGTGATCGAGCCGCTCACGGTCGCCGTGCGTGCGGTCAAAATGGGTGTGCGGCCGGGCGACACGGTGGTGGTGATCGGCGACGGCAGCATCGGCCTCCTCGTGCTCCTCGCGGCCCGGGCCTACGGCGCCCACGCCGTGCTCGTCGCCGGCACCACTCCCAACCGCCTCGCCAAGGCCCGCGAGCTCGGCGCCGACGCCACCTTTGACTTTTCGTCGACCTCGACATCGGCGTCGGCGTCGGAAACCGTGTCGGCGTCGGCGTCGGCGTCGGAAAGGTCGCCAGCGGATTCGTTCAGGCGGGCGGTGATGGCGCTGGGCGGCCGGGGCCGACTGGCCGACGTGGTGATCGAAGCCGCGGGCCAGCCGGCGGCGTTTGAGTCGGCGCTGGCGGCGGTCAAGGACGGAGGGCGGGTCACGGTGCTGGGCGTGTTCGGTGGCCAGCGGGCCAGCGTCGACCTGGACCAGGTCGTGCTGCGCGACCTGTCGATTCGGGGCACGGTGGGCAGCCCCGGCGTGTGGCCGGAGACCGTGGCGCTGGTCGAGAGCGGCCAGATCGCGGCCGATGCGATCATCACCCACCGGTTCGAAGGCCTCGGCCGCTTCCCCGACGCTATGGCCATGGTGCAAGCCCGCGCCGACAACGTGATCAAGGCCGTTCTGTGCCCGTTCCCATCTACCGATGAGACGGTGTGATGGGGTTGATACATTCATCTGTATAACACTGCAATCATCATAACCGCCTCCGCCTTTCTTCTTTATCGTCGCCATCGTCGCCATCAGCGTCATCAGCTCGAAGTTGAGGTAGCTGCGTGTGTTCGTCTTCAAGCTCAGCGTCCTCACAAAAAATAAAAGCGTAATAATTACGTGGAATGCGTGGAATGCATGACAAAGTTGTTGTGTGTTTGGACGGTCAGTATTTGTTAGGCCCTTATTGCTGTAAATACGGCTTGGCAAAGCTTGCTTCTAGAACCGTTACAGCCTTCCTTCTAACGCCCACCTCACTTGTGCGAGAACTGCGTTGGTACGGCTCCCTCTTTCCTCTTCCAGTTCATCTTTCTTGTTGTCGTTAGCCCTCTTCCCCTTTTTGCTCTCGCTCGCTGCAGCTCCCAGTGCACTGGATCGAGAAAGATGTTTTATTTCTCTTTTTTTCTGCACATCTGCACAAATCAAAAATGAATCTCAAATCTCAGATTTTTGATCAGTATCATCATCTTTTTTCTGCGGACTGGAGATCTAGCGCGAGGTGGTCCCAAACACGCAACACGATGTTCCAATCAACCCGGCCACACAGCACACGCGCCGCTGCCGGTTCTGAAACGCAGTTGAAAAGCGCAGCCCATTCCAACGAAACAGCAAATCCTTGACCATTTTATTTTTGTTATTCTTTTTTATTCGATTCAAATCGCTATCACTGGCACAACCACCACGCCCCAGTACTGCAGCGCAGCCAAAGACAAACCTTAAGTGCCAGGGTGCGTCCAGCCTGCTCTGCAACAGTGCAATCTCTCAGCGATCACTGGCGCTACAATAATCAATCATAAAAGTGACAAGGAGCCCAAGCATTTGGAGAAGTAGAAGAAGAACAAACCAACAACATAGATCCAGTGCACTCTTGTTTGTGTGTCTAGCTTGTCTAGCTAGAGATACGTTTTGAATTATGGGGTAACCCCAGATCCTCCTCCTTCAATCCTTCACTCACCTCATCTCCCGTTCTTACCCAGCAGGACGCGAGCTAAGCCCCCACAACCAACAACCAACAACCAACAACAGACATCAAGTAAGTAAGGAGAGTAGAGCCAACAATGCAGCAGCCACCAGCACGTCGCTATTCCATGGACCGGTTCGCGAGCGAGCTCGACTTCACCGACACGAGGCCGGTGCTGTTCGACGTCGGGTGGGAGGTGGCCAAGAAGGTGGGCGGCATCTACACCGTGCTCAAGTCCAAGTCGCCCATCACGGTCGAGGAGTTCGGCGGCCGCTACGCGCTGGTCGGCCCCTACAACCAGGCCACCGCCGCCACCGAGATGGAGGAGATGGAGCCCGGCCCGCTCTTCGGCCCCGTCATCGCCCGCCTCCGCGAGCGCTACGGCATCATCGTTCACTTTGGCAAGTGGCTCGTCGACGGTTATCCCAAGGGTACCGTGTGTGTCGTGTGTGTCGTGTGTGTCGTGTGTGGCACGGCTGACGGAAGCGTTGCGTGTTGTGTGCGGTGCGCAGTGCTCCTGATCGACGTGAACAGCTCGATGCATGAGCTGGACAAGTGGAGGGGCGAGCTCATGGGCGGCTGGGACGTGCCCGGCGACTTCGAGTGCAACGACGGCATCGTGTTCGGCTACCAGGTACGGCCGCACGACACGACACGACACGACACGCACAACACAGTTGTAATTGTAATTGTTTTGCTTACGTGTGCGGTGCGTGTCGTGTGTCGTGTGGTGTCGTGTTCACCAGACGGCGCTGTTGATCAGGGAGTTCACCCAGATCTACCGCGACATCCGTCTCATCGCCCACTTCCACGAGTGGCAGGCCGCCGTGGGCCTCATCGTCGCCCGCATTTGGAACGTCAAGTTCGCCAGCATCTTCACCACCCACGCCACCCTCCTCGGCAGGTACCACTTGACTGTCCGCCGCCACCCATCGCCGCCCGTCGTTGTTGACCATCATCTTCGTCTTCTTCATCATCATCATCAAACCATGATCGTCTTGTCTTCTTCGTCGCGTGCGCAGGTTCTTGGCCTCTGGCGGCGTGGACCTGTACAATCAGATCGCGCAGATCAACGTCGACTCCGAAGCCTCCCGCCGCGGCATCTACCACCGCCACTGGATCGAACAGCGCGCCGGTATTTTTATTTTATTTTATTTTATTACTATTTTATTCTTTCAATCACTTATTTTATTCTAATTATTAATAATTTTGTATTTTTATTCATGAATAATGCAGCCCAGGAATGCCACGTATTCACGACGGTGTCGGAGATCACGGCCTACGAGGCCGAGCGGATCCTGCGGCGGCGCGCGGACGTGATCGTGCCCAACGGTCTCCAGGTGAAGAAGTTTACGGCGCTCCACGAGTTCCAGAACCTGCACGCCAAGTACAAGGAGGTGATCCACGAGTTCGTGCTGGGCCACTTCTACGGCCACTACAACTTCGACCTCGACAACACGGTCTACTTCTTCACCTCGGGCCGCCACGAGTACTTCAACAAGGGCGTCGACATGTTCATCGACGCGCTGGCCGGCCTCAACTACCTCCTCAAGCAGCGAGGGTCCAACATCACCGTCGTCGCCTTCATCATCATGCCCGCCCCGACCAACAACTTCAACGTCGAGTCCCTCAAAGGTATAAATCACATACATTACAAATAAATAAATAAATAATAACAAATAAGTAATAAATAATAATATAATAATTGTGTGTGAGTGCAGGCCAGTCGTTGATCAGGGATCTGAAGCGTACGACGACGCACGTGGTGGAGAAGCTGTCCGACCGCATTTTCGAGGCCACGGCCCGCGGCCAGATGCCCGACGTCAACGATCTCCTCAAGGAGGAGGAAATCGGTGCGTGACCCCGCCGCCGACGCCGCTTAACACCACCACCACCACCATCACATCATTAGCGCGAGTGTAGCTGACCACGTTGTGGTTCATCATGTCGCGCGCGTAGTGATGTTGAAGAGGCGCATCTACACGGTGAAGCAGCGTAACATCTACCCGCCCATCGTCACCCACAACATGATCAACGAGGGTATGCGCTTGTGTCGTGCTGCATGTCGTGTGTGTGTGTGTGTGTGTGTGTGTGTGTGTGTGTGTGTGTCGTGTTGTGTTGTGTGTGTCGTGTGTGTCGTGCGGTTTCCAAAGAGTTGTTGGCGCTCAACGTGTCCGGTCTTCCGCGGCGCAAATAGGCAAGGACGAAATCCTGAACCACCTGAGGCGCGTCAAGCTGTGGAACGACCCCGCCGACCGAGTCAAGGTACCGGCCGGCCTTTGTTTGTTTGTCTCTGAGCGCGTGCGGTGCGCGTATGCGGTGGTGCGTGTGCGTGCGTGCGGTGTCGCGTGCGGCCTTGACTCACAGCTGCTCCGTCGCGTGCGCCAGGTGATCTACCACCCGGAGTTCCTGTCGTCGACTTCGCCGCTCATTCCGCTGGACTACCCCGACTTCGTGCGCGCCTGCCACCTCGGCATCTTCCCCTCCTACTACGAGGTACGCCGCGACCGCACTCCTCCTCCCCCCTGAACGCAATTTGCTGACACACGACACACACGACGACACACGACGACACACGACACAGCCGTGGGGTTACACGCCCGCTGAGTGCACGGTGCTCGGTGTGCCCTCGATCACCACCAACTTGTCCGGTTTCGGTAACTACGTGCATACCAACATCGAGGACCACGACTCCAAGGGTCTGTTCATCGTCGACAGGCGCTTCAAGGTAACCAAGAATGAATGGAATGACTGTGTGTGTGTGTGTGTAGCTTGCAACAATTTTCTCACACATATCCATTCGAACATATTGTGATGTGTTGCTGCAGGCGCCCAATGAGACGGTCGACCAGATCATCGACATTCTCTGGAAGTTCTGCCAGCTCGACCGCAGGCACAGGATTGAGCTGCGCAACCGCTGCGAGCAGATGTCGCAGATGCTGGACTGGAAGAACCTGGGCAAGGCCTACCAGGAGGCCCGCCACCTCGCCCTCGAGAGGGTCTACGGCCCCGTCGACCAGCCCGACATCGGCGCCCTCAAAATGTGCGCCCCCCCCCCTTCGTCACAAATGTGCGGTGTGTGCGGTGTGTGCGGTGTGTGTCTGACTGAAATGCAACGTTGCGTGGTGGTTGATATGTGTAGCAGCTCGTAAGCCACCACCACCACATACGGCCACGTCACGCCCGCCCCCTTTACGCCTTGTTGTTCGTGGGGCCGCCAACAACAGATCGCCAACATCTTGCTTTTTACCAATGGGAAGTGCTGCTGATCGCTTTTTCCTTATGTTTAATTAGTGCAATTTCCCTTTGAACAGCCCATTGGTCGAATTTTTTCCACGGCGGAACGAAAGGCGACCGTTTTTCATTTCTTTTTTTCTTTGGCACTTCTCTTTGTTGGATCCGCTCAACGTCGATTTGAAAGCGACCCATCGGTACAAGGTACAAGCAGAGGAAGTTTTGAGAGGCGAACGGCTTTTTGAATTGCTACGCACATTAATAGATAGAGCAGATTTAGAGAATAATTAACGCTCGCCCGATTGGATAATAATAGATTTAATATTCATAAATCGACAACAGCCTCGACCGACACATCAACATGTACGTAGAAGATGCATCAAACCCCGCCTTTTTCTCATCTGCGCACCTGGTCAGTGACAGTGGCATGCGCAATAATAATCCTGATTTTTGTTCTCCAGGTCTGACGCCTACAAAATCATCATCCTCGGCAACCCCAACGTTGGAAAGACATCTCTCATTCTCAGATGGGCCGTACGTCTTTCTTCACCCTCTTCCGTTCATTCTTTTTCATTCGCCATTTTGACTGTGTGGCCTTTTGCGGCCGCTACGGGCGCAGGAGGGAAAATTCGATGAGGAGGGAGCCGAGAATGTGGATTCGAAGACGAAGAGCGTGATGCTGGGCAACAAGGAGGTCAAGCTCACCGTGGTACGGCCAACGAAGTGTTGTGTGCTCGCTTCTCTAACCATTCATTCATTAATCTCGAATCCATCCCGCTACTTGCCAATTCGATCAGACCGACACCGCCGGCCAGGAGCGGTTCAGGACTCTCACTTCCTCGTACTACCGTAACGCTGATGCGATCCTCGTTGTTTTCGATATCACCAACGAAGGTACGTGGCTTTCACTGTTGCATCAATTTCGAAACGAGGGGCGAATCAATTCAAACGTTTCCCCTCCTCCACCTCTACGTAATTTGCTCTCCAGATTCCTACACGGATGTGCCCGCCTGGGTGGAGGAGGGCCAGCGCTACGCCGTTGATTCGATCATGTTCCTCGTTGGCAACAAGGCCGACGTGTCCGAAGAGCGTGTCACGGAAGCCGCCAAGGCCGAGGTTCGTTCACCCTCTTCTTCTTCTTCTTCCTCTTCCTCGTCAAGTGTGCCAGCCACCGAGCGAGCTCTGACCAGAGGTTCAACCGCTACACACACACACATTTCTACAGGAGTACGCCAAGGATGAAGAGATCGCGTTCTACATGGAGACGTCGGCCAAGACCGGCAACAACGTGGACGCTCTCTTCCTGGCCGTCGCCAAGAAGCTTGAGGGAAGGTGCGCTCTCCTTCCATCCATCCGTTCTTCTTTTTCTTCTTCCACTTCATGTTTGTTTTCTCACCATCTTCTGCTTCTTCTTCTTCTTCTTCTTCTTTCACAGCTTCAACCCTGACGAGGAGGAGGCCGACAACGGCAAGAAGGGCAAGAAGGGCAAGAAGGACGATGGCAAGGTTGACATCAAGTCGACGGACAAGAAGAAGTCGGGCGGCAAGAAGTGCACCATCTAAGGAGGCCCTTTAGGAAGATGGACGACAGGGAGAAGAAGAAGAGGAGGAAGAGAAGAGAGCACACTAAGAAGAAGGAGGAGGAGGAAGAGACTGAGAGTGAGAGGACGACGAGGACATGATGGGAAAAACGTGGACACAGTACTAACCACTTCGCATCGCCACCACCACCACCACCGTGGCGATTAGGAGGCGCGCACACCAAAGGGTCCCACCCTCTTGATTGTATCCATAAAGAAGGCAACAGCATCAAACAAACATCAACATCGTGGCCACGTCGTCTGTCGGAGTTGTAATTGTTTATTTATTTCCTTTACTGACGTGGCTTTGCTGCGGACAACAAGATCAACACGCAGCATCCACATCGTGCTCTGGGTAGCTCAAGTGTGGATCGCGCATCAGGGTTGCACTCACTCTTGATCACTCACAGGTTCGCCCTCTCGTCGCCCCCTTGCGTAATCTCGCTACTTGCTTTCTTCTACGCCTCCATCGTTTTTCTTTTTAATTTAAAAGCGCCCGCATTAATTGTTTTAATCTCATCTTCTCTCATCTCTATGCGCTGCTGCTGCGTTACGCGCCATCTGGTCTTGCACACGTCGCTCACTGCTCTCAATTCAATCGGCCTGCTCATCATCATCATCGATAATCCATCCGCGTAGGACGACGCGTGAACGATCAACAACGACGAAGAAGTAGCGGTGGTGAAGAAGAAGCCCAACCCTGCACGCAACAACAACAGCAAGAAGGAGAAGAAGAAGAAGATGCTGAACATCTCGGACGGGCAGAAGATCGGGATCCTGCTGACGGGCTTCGGCCTGTTCTTCACCTTCTTCGGGGTGCTCCTCCTCTTCGACCGCGGCCTGCTGGCCATCGGCAACCTGCTCTTCCTCACCGGCGTCACCCTCATCATCGGCGGCCGCAAGACCTTCCGCTTCTTCTTCCAGTGGCGCAAGCTGCGCGGCACGGCCTGCTTCCTGGGCGGCATCGCGCTCGTCATCGTCGGCTGGCCCTTCATCGGCATGATCGTCGAAGTGTTCGGCTTCATCAACCTCTTCGGCGACTTCTTCCCCGTGGCCCTGGGCTTCGCCCGACGGCTGCCCGTCATCGGCCACGTCCTCGAGCTCCCCGCCGTCCAGTGGGTCACCGACCGACTCATCGACTCCAAGCGACTCCCCGTCTGAGCACAAAGAAGAACAACGAAGAAGAAGAAGGTGGTGGAGAAAGTGGAAGTGAGTGCAGGTGGGGGTGACGATGATGATGAAGTAGAAGTAGAAGGGCGGGTGAATGTAAGAAGAGAGAGCTCGGGGGTGTCGATGGCGGGCGAATGGATGTGCATACGTACCAGTGGAAGAAGAAGAGGAAGATGAGGAAGAAGAAAGGGGCATGGCCAGGGAGAGCTAGAATCATCAAAAGACAAGACATATAAACATGCTCCAGTTTTGTGCACGTGCAGCTGCTTTGTTTGATTATTATTAATTATTAAAAAATAAAAAAGATAAATAAAAAACAAACAAAACACTCAGTGTTTCGTCCGAACTTTCAAACTGGGTTGGGCGTAGTGGCTACCGCTCAAAGAGGTTGGTCCAATCAATCAGAGGAGCAACATCTCTCGCACCCAATCACCGGTGGACTACGGCAGGCGAGCAGGGGAGGAAAGCAGAAGACAGGCAGACCTGACCGGCGGCGTTTTGCCCATTCAATTCGAGTAGCGCCAGATGCTGAGTTCCGTGTTCGGAATCGCCAATGGAGCTGCCTCAAGCGAATCGAGCGAGGAGGCCCTATTGAAGAAACAGGCCGAGGAAATGGAAGAGGTGCCTTCGCCCTTCGCCCTTCTACTCCCTTTTCTCATCATTAGCACCATTTCCTTTTTATATTTATTATTTTACAGCGGAGAAATGGTCACTACAAACCATCATCTAAGAGATGCACAAATCAATCGACCCACAAGTGAATACAATATTTTCGTTTGATTTGTACATAGTTTTACACAACATTTGAATATTATTAGTTCTGTAATACTAAATATTGTCTTTTCTTTCCACTCGGCAGGAGGAGAACGCGTTGCGGTGTCTGCGGTCGCTGAGCGGTTCGATGGAAGTCAACTACGTCGTCCACGAAATGTTCAAGTACAACGGCACCACCATCCTCGGTACCCAGGCTTCCCTTCGTTGGTCGTGCGTTGTGCATGTGCCGGGTCGTGTGCACACGCACACGCACACGCACACGCACACGCACACGCACACGCACACGCACACGCACACGCACACGCACACGCACACGCACACGCACACGCACACGCACACGCACACGCACACGCACACACTCCTAGTACTCACGCTGTACTATCGCATGCATGCGTGTCGCGTGTGTCGTGTCGTGTGCAGAGTTCCTGTGTGCGGAGTTGCGGAGATTCAAGCTCAACGACATCGAGTTCTATCTGCCCCAATTCTGCAATCTCCTCCTCACACGACAGCAGTACCCACAGGCCATCGAAGAGTACGCACACCCACACACCACCGCACACACCACCCGACCCGCATGTCCTCACTCCTGTGTGCGTGTGCGGTGTGTCGCGTGTCGTGTGCGTGTCGTGCGGCTGTGAGCAGGTGGCTCATCGGACTGTGCCGCAACTCGCTGCACCTGGCCCTGCGCACCTACTTCATCATCCGGGCGGCCGTCGAGGACTCCATCCCCGAAACCCTCAAACGTTCACGCCTCCTCGAACGAAAACTCATGGAACTCGTCCTCGGACCCAACTCAGGTTCGTGTGTCGTGTGTGTCGTGTGTGTCGTGTGTGTCGTGTGTGCTGTGCGTGTCATGACTGACGCCTTTGTCATGCGTGCAGATGAAGCGACGATATCGTTTTGGTTGGACGAGATCACGCTGGTCAAGACACTCACGCGCCTATCGTCCATGCTCAATTCCGTGCCCCTCGAACAGAAAAGTACGCCCACGACACGACACGACACGACACGACACGACACGACACGACGCGAGCCCGCGGGGAATATTGGCTGGTGATTGAACGTTTGTTTTTGTTTTTGTTTTTTCATTTTGAAGATACGGCGCTGCGTGCGATGCTGGGCCAGCTGAACGGTGGACTGTCGGTGGGCCTCTACCTACCCATCACGCGCGCCGACGACGTACGCCTCTTTCTCTCGATTTTGTGTTTTCATTTCGATACAGCTCCATTTCATCGTCCGGCCACTCGAGTGCGTGTCTCATGCTGTGTGTGTCGTGTGTCGTGTGTCGTGTCCGAAACCGACGACGACGGTACCGGGTTTGTCGTGTGTCGTGTGTCGTGTGTCGTGTGTCGTGTGTTGTGGAACCCCGGGTGCAGCCCTACAGTTGCCTGCTGAGCGTTGTGGCGGAAGACGCCTTCTGTCTGCCGACTCGCACGCGCGTACTGAGCACCTCTTTCCGTATTTATTATTTTTATTATTATTCTTTTATTTATTTTTATTTTCTTTTTTTCAATTATTTCTTTTCGCTGTCGGGGGTGTCTGATGAGCTCATGGCTTCGTCGTGGTGGTGGTGGTGGGGGCAGACGCCGTTCATGATGTTCGTGGAGGTGGCCGAGCTGGGCGGCACCTTCGGCACCCTCGAAGCCTCCCTCGCCCAATACCGGTACCCCCCCCACCACCACCACCGCACACGCGTGTGTCGTGTCGTGTCGTTGGTCGTGTCGTGTCGTGTCGTGTCGTGTCCTCATTTAGTTGGGATGGGCAGGAAGGACAAGCAGACCGAGGCATCAGAACCAGAGGACGAATCCCAGCCCCAAATCTACAGTACTCCCCCTTCCTCCCCCAAGCCTTCTCGACGCACACGCACACGCCACCGCACACGCGCCACCGCACACACACACGCACACACGCACAACTAATGCGTGCCGCGTCGTGTGCGTTCGCCAGCGTTCAAGGGGGTGCCGATCCACAATGCGACGGAGCTGATGAGCAAGTGCGCCCACCCCGACCACGCCCAGGACCAGCCCCACCCACCACCGCAGCAGCAGCCCTGCGACGGTGACCACCCGCCGCCCGGCGGCGCCCAGCCGGCCGACTCGGCCTCGGCCCCCGAGGCCCAGGCTCCACCCGAGGCCGGTAGTGGTGCGTCGCCGGCGGTGGGTGAGAAGTCCAACGCGAGGCGCGCTCGCGAGCCGTACGCCCCTCCCCGGCCTTCGCTCTTTGCCCCCCCCCCAAACGGTTTCGTTTTCGCTTTTGCTGACGTATTGGGGGGGAGGGCTGCAGGCAAGTGTTCGACTACGAGCAGCTGCTGGCGGCGATGGAGGAGCAGAAGCGGGAGTGGGCGCAGTACCTCAAGGAGGAGCAGCGCATCCCCGGCGCCGACCCGCTGCCATCACCACAATCGTCATCGTCGTCCACGTCATCATCGATGTGCACGTCAGCGTCGTCGTTGTCGTCGTCATCGTCGTTGTCGACGTCGTCGATGTCGGCGGCCGAGGGCGGGACGTCGACGAAGGGCGGCATCCTGGCCCTCTCCGAGAAGCTCAAGACCATCGTCAAGAAGGTCGAGAACGACAAGGAGGCCCTCATCTCCCAACTCGCCGCCCTCCAAGGTCCCCCCTTCCCGCCCCCTCCCGCCCCCCCTCTCCTGTCGCTCACCGCCCCCACCCGCCCCCTTTGCAGAGACGGAGAAGGCGGACGCGCTGGTGGACAGTCCGCTGGGGGACGACTACTTCATCACGTCGGTGGAGGAGTTCTACTGCGACGTGCTGGAGAAGGGCCAGCTCAAGATGAGCAAGCCGACGACGACGGCGCCGGGCGGGCCGACGCCGTACTACTCGGCGCGCGCCAGGTCGCCCAGCCCGCGCCTCTCCTTTGGCGACGACGACGCGGCCGCCGACGGCGATACCGACGAGTGGGTCGTCGTGCCCGACGGCGAGAAGGAGATGCGCCGCACCCGCTACGAACTCATGAGTGCGCCCGCCCCCACCCGCCCCCACCCGCCCCCTCCCGCCCCCTCCCGCCCCCTTCTGTCGTCTGATGAAGGGATGGTGGGTGCAGCGGCGGCGTACAAGGAACTGTGGACCGACCGCAAGAAGCGCATTCAGCAGCAATCGCCCTTTGGCGGGCTTCCCGGCTGGAGTACGCCACCCCCTCGCCCGCCCGCTCCTCGTCGCCGGCTCGCGCTGACCTCCAAACCCGCGCACGCGCAGATCTGCAGGCGGTCATCGTGAAGAGCGAAGACGACCTGCGACAAGAGCAGGTGCGCGCGCCCGGACATCCTCGACACTCCACGAGCGGAGAGTCGGCTTACACGCGCGCGTGTCGCGTCGTGTGTCGTGTCGTGCTGTGCTGTGCGTGCTGTGCAGATGGCGATGCAACTCATCAAAGCGTTCAGCGAAATTTTCAGCGCCAAACGGCTGCCTCTTTGGCTTCGACCGTACCTCTCCATCACGCCGCACACGCACACGCACACACCGCACACGCTCATCGCACATGTCTGAGCTTCTGCGAACCGCAGGTACGAGATCGTGGCGGCGTCATCGTCGACGGGGTTCATCGAGGTGGTCCCCGACGCCGTGTCGATCGACGCCATCAAGCGACGCAACCCCGACTGCCCCACCCTCACTGCCTACTTCCTCCGCGTACGCCTCCTCCCCTCCTGCGCGTGTCGTGTCATGTACCGTGTGTGCTGTGTGCTGTGTGCGGTGCGTGTCGTGTCGTGTCGTGCTGACGTGCGTGCACGCACCAGACCTACGGCGAGCGACACACGCCCACGTTCAAGGCCGCCCTGCGGAACTTCGTCGAGTCGTTGGCGGGCTACTCGCTCGTCTGCTACTTCCTCCAAATCAAGGACCGGTAAACCCACCCTCCCGCCCCCACCCGCCCCTTCCAGCCCCCTCCCGCCCCCCGTCTGACGGGGCAAGTGCGCACGCAGACATAACGGGAACATATTGCTGGACATCTACGGGCACATCGTGCACATCGACTACGGCTTCCTGCTGGGCACGGGTCCCGGCACCTGGGTCTTCGAGAAGGCGCCCTTCAAGCTCACCGTACTCTATCCCCCCGCCTCCATCGCTGCTCGTTGCCGTGGCCCCCGCACGAGACTGACCCAACACGCGTGCGGTGTGTGCGGTGCGTGTCGTGCGGCGTGTGCGGCGCAGGCCGAGTATGTGGAGTTGATGGGAGGCGAGACGTCAGACACGTTCCGGTACTTTAGCATGCTCCTCATCTCGGGATTCCTCGAAGTGCGCAACCACTACCACCGCATCATCAACATCGTCGAAATGATGCTCCCCGGTACGAAGCCCTCTCGCGCCACCTTGTGTGTGCGCACACGCTCACGACACGCACGACACGACACGCGCAGGGTACAAGATCGGCTGCTTGAACGAGACGACGGTGCCGATGCTGCGGGACCGGTTCAAGGTCACCCTCTCGCCCGACGAGTGCCAGGCCTTCGCCCAGTCCCTCATCAACGAAGCGTACAAAGTCCCCCCCAATCACTCTTCCGTTTCCCACCCGCTGACCGCACGCACACACCACCGCACACAACCAACACCGTAGGATGGGGTCGTGGCGGACGAAGCACTACGACAACTTCCAGCTCTGGACCAATGGAATCCTGCCCTGAGGACAGTTTACCTGTTTGGTGCTCCTGGATTATCACAGGGGGGGGGGACAAACAGCTGTACAAAAAGAGGCCATGCCTCTACTTCCGTTAGTGGCCATTTCTATTTGGCGGAGTATGCACTTACCAAACGTGGACTTAAGTTGCAGCAGTAATATTACTTTAATTTGTTGGTGTTATAAATGTTTTTGTATCGTCATGTAAAGTAGTGCAAAACCAATCTCCAACATGAGGATGCAAGCTCTAGGCCCACAGGAAGGGCCATTTTGGCCCAAGAAGGTGCAGGGAAAAATAGAAATCATATGGAATGGGAAATGAATTATACAGTGATTATGTCTTTTAAAAAAACAAAAAGTAGTAAGATTAGAGTAAGTGGCCCTAACCCCAGTTGCTTGTTCTGTGTGCAGCAGTGGAAGAGGTGAGGGAGGTGGCAAATGCACTCACCACCTATGTCAACACAGAGCTGCTCTTGGGAACAGGAGGGGCCTGGAGAAGAGGAAGAGGAGGATGACCAGGAACCATACCCTTTTATTCTGCCCTGTGGTTGTTAGCTTGTTGAAAAAGATGGGCAAACAGGTCCTGGAGGGGATCACCTGAGGCAAACAAAAGGCAGGCAGGCACTAGGTCACATGTACATGGAAATGGTACATCCACCCTCCTTGTGCTCTGGTCCCACAGCTGCGCCTCTTGAAATTATTTTCCCTAGATTTGATTGCATGTGAGCAGGATTTACACATTTTGGTGAGATGTTGAGGGGAAGCCCAAGGAGACTGTGTAGCCAGCGCCAGTAGGCCTCACACAAGTGAGAGCACTGACAGGAATCCCCTCCACCAGTCATGGAGACAGGCTGCCCCCTAATAAAACTTGCCTAAATAGGAGGGAAAGTCATGTCCCATCTCCTAGTTATGTAGAGCATTCCAGCAGCCCCACCTGCTGATGGCTCATGAGTGCCTGTGCTTGGGCGCACTCACTGTTAGCCCTTAATCACTCTTATCAAGTGGTTGTTGTATGTACTTTGTTGATGGGCTGCTGGTAGATCCCCTCAACAACAAACCAGTTAGGGTTGCTGTCACCTCAGCCCAGCATGCATATGGCCAGGTTGGTCTGGACGCCCTATGTGAAGCAGTGGCATTAGGTTGGTTGTGTGCATAGTGTGGTTGGTCATGCATGTGTTTTGTGTAAATATGCACTTGGCAAGCAGGTTACCACTTTGATGATGGGAGGGAGAAAAGTTGAGCTACCTTTATTGGTGGGAGGTGCTTACTTCAACCAACATGTGCCATGTGCACCTTCTTCTTGAGCATGTATCTGTGTTGTGTCCACCTTCATCTCCATCATGTTTCTGCCTTCCTCTGCCTTCCTCTGTTGTTGCCACTGTTTGCTTGTGGTCTCTGGTAACCCTTGCTGGTCACTCTTGCTGGTTGCCCTTGTCCTGTGCACTGGTCTGGTCAGTCAGCTCCTTGAGCTTGGCTGCAGCCTCCTGCTGCTTGAGCAGCCACTTCATCTCTTGGTTGTGTTGCTCCTGCTTGCACCACTTTACCTTCTTTGTAAGCTGGAGCACATACCTGGGCCTCACTGTTGATCAGATTCCAATCAAACTGAATGTCCTGCTTATGTCTGGCCTGTCTTTGTAGGGCATCAAGTGGCTAAAATTGAATCACTGTGGTTTGAATTTCTTCAGTCATTCCTGTCCTTGTTCCTGACTTTTCAATGGATTGCCAAGCCCACATTGCTGCCTCAACACTACAAGGCCAAGGACTCAACATCTATGTCACCATACACATCTCTCCTCTCTCTTCTGGTTAAGGCCCTGTGAGGGGGTTTACATCATCACCTTCCTGATTGGGAACTCATCATGAATTCTTGCACACTCCCATATCAACATGCAATAGTCATTGAGGTAGGTACTGAACTTGTCCACAACATGGTGTGTATTGCATGCATTGTGCATGTGTGTACCAAGAAGCCTAGAGAGATGGATTCAAGGGCATTGCAAGCCCAGCCACAGCCAAGGCCTCTAAGTTCATGGTGGCCAGAAGTTGCTGTAGTTGTTGTCGGTCAAGAAAAGGGGATATTTCTTTTATTCTTGCTCGCTGCTGGCTGCGGGGGCGGGCGGGATGGGCAGGCGCCGTCGGCCAGGGCGTTGTCGCGGGGGCGGGGGGGCCACCTCCATGATGCGCTCCAGGAGCTCCGTCATCTCCTCCGCCGTCACGTGCGGCTGCCCCGGCTTGTTGCCCCTCTGCTTCTGCTTCTTGTGCGGCTCCCGCTCCTCCTCCTCGACCGCCTTCTTGGCCATCTCCAGAATGATGGCGTTCACCTTGGCCGCGAACTCGGGGTCGGCGTCGTCGTTGCGGCGCCGCTGCTGCTTCTGGCGGTGGTGGTGGTCGGCGGCGGCGTCGGGGGTCTCGCCGGCCTCGTCGACGGCGTTGTCGTCGGTGGTGGTGTGGTCGATGATGATCTCGTCGTCGAGGCCCTCCTCGCGCAGGAATCGGTGGAGCTCGGCCTCGTCGATGTCGTCGCTGACCGCCGCCTCGACGTCATCGTCGATCGCGAACGGCAGCTCGTCGTCTTCGCCTATCTCGTCCGTCTCCTCCGGGAATTCAAAGCTTTCATCCTGCACACGTCACACGACACACGCGCGATACGACACACGCACACGACGCACACGCGAGATGTGAGCTTCACGCAAGCAACGAGGCACGACCAACGGAGCGCAGGCGCGCACGTACCGTGTCAGCCAGCTGCGCGCGCATCTGGGCGACCTGCTCCGGGTCGATCTGGAACTGGCCCTGTGACGACGGCAAAGCACACACCAGTGAGCACACGACACGACACGACACGACACGACACAACACGACACACATGGCGCGTGTTGTGTGTACCTCGGCCTGGCTCCATTGGCGCGCCCAGCGGTCGGCTTCGGTCTCCTCGAGCGGCCGAGGCGTGGCGAGCCCGAGGGCCTCCTCCTCGCTCTCGTTGAAGATCACGCCGAAGAGCTTCTGGGGCGGTTGGGCGATGACGAGCGCGCGCCTGCGCTGGCCCTGCTCGCGGAAGGGCAGCTCGACGATGGGCCGCCTCATGAGCCGCGGATGATCAATGATGGCCTGGATGAGGGCGTCGCGGCCGAGAGCGGGGTCGTGCAGGTTGAGCTCGGCGTAGAGCGGATCGCTGGTGCGCATGAAGTCGCGCGGATCGTCGATGCCCAATTCGGCCATGAATCGCTCTACGTCGCGCGGGAGGAGGGGATCGACGGTGATGTCGATGATGATGGGCTTGAGCGAGCAGGCCTCGAGCAGGCGGATGGCGCCGTACGATGATTTGGACCGCGGGTAGTGGTAGATGGTCGGACGGCCCATCTTGCGCGTAGGAGCGCCGCCAGCCGCCAAATTGGGCGGGAAGAGAGGCATCTCATCGAAGCTGGCGGAAGTGGCAGAGGGTGGCGTGGCAAAGCGGGTCGAAGACTTGGAGGCTGCAGCGGCGGCGGGTCCCATCTTGTTGCGCGTAGAGGAAGATTTCGCATGGTTGGTCGTTTTGGAACCAGATGCAGATGAGGAGGAGGAAGAAGTAGAAGGGGAGGGGCGTTTGGGAGTTGAAGATGACGATTTGAATCGTCGAGCGGTGGCGCCAATCACAGAAGATGAGGCAGAAAATGCAGATGGGCGTGTGATTAATCGCAAATTCGAAGAGGAGCGTGCAGAAAGGGAAGATGCGGGAGCAATCCTGCCACCAAGCTGGAGGGTGGAGGGCCAGGCTGCGCAGGCCTTTCGGGAGATCACCGGACGCAGCATGTTGGTTGCGCAAATCGTTGATCACAACGCTCGCGGGATGAATTTTTGGCACCTTTCGAAGAAAAGGCTGCTCGCGAAGGAAAAGGACAAGGAAATGAAGAGCGGCAGAACTGGCAATGCACTGCCACCATCACCTCTCGAACAGATGATTCACACCAACATGACAACTCATTAGCACGAGGCTCTTGTCAAGTTGTTGTCCCTTCCTTTGTTTTTCGATGAAGCCCTCAAGGACCTCTTTTAGTTCAATGGACGCGTTGCTGTTGCAGCGCGAGACCTTGACGAACTTGGTTGCGCCTGCCTCTGGACACGCAGGTGCCCAAACACAAGCCAAGGCAACACTGCAGTGTTGTTGCAGCCATTTGTTTTTTTTTTTTTTGTTGTTGTTGTTTCCAAGAGAGTGAACGGTTGCCTTTCGCAGGCAACGACACAACGCAGGCAAACACCACCGAAGTAGCGCCAGGTTTTGTATTCTGCCAACCGTCGCTGGACAAGAACCAGGTGAAGCGCCTGCAGGCACCTACTACAGCCCCTCTTGGCGTCTTCTTCTGATCTTCTTCTCTTTCTGCTTTCCTCCTCAAGCAAGAAACACCCCTGCACAATACACAACAACAGCAAGTGCCTCCACACAGCACGTGAGAGGCGAACAGGATTAAATTAGCGAGAATTGAAGGCACAACGATTATGCAGAAGAGGCCGTCCCAACAGCAAGGGGGCGGCTCGGCACCCAACGCCCAACGCAAAGCATGGACCCGACCGAGCATGAACGGACCTGGTACTGTCGCCTTCTTTTGATATATTACAACCATTTTATTTTATTTTATTTTATTTTATTTGCCCATAGTTCAGTACGAGTTTGCCTGCCTGTGCAGATCGTTCGTTCTTATTTCTCTCTGTTTTTATCTGGATTGAAAATAATAGTGGTTTATTTATGACACAACGGCTACCATCGCCAAACAACTTGAGTCACGCTTGCCCTGATTCGGCCACTTTTTTTAAAAAAGTAATTATTTTTATTATTTTTTACTCGGCAGCCGATTTTTGGGGATTGGCCCCGTTTTATGAGGCGTGATGCCATTGGGTGGAAGGTGCCACCACAAGTTCCAAGCTTGTTCGCTTGGCACCCCACTTCTTCACGCTTCACACACAAACCCTGAAAAACAACACATGTCAGCAGCAACCGTGCTTTCCTCTTCCGCGTTCTCACTCTACTCACCGCACCACCGCCACCCACCACCGCGTCGCCACCGCACGACACGCGCAGGACCGTCGGCTCGGTGCGCCCACAGCGCGTCCATGGTGGGCAACGGCAACGTATTCGTCTACGGCGGCTGGGACGGCAACCAAATGCTCAACGACCTCCACGTCCTCCACACCGGTTCGGCCCGTGGCCCATGGCACCACACCCCACCACCACCACCACTGACTGCCGTGTGTCGTGTGTGTCGTGTGTGTCGTGTGTGTCGTGTGTGTCGTGTGTGTCGTGTGTGTCGTGTGTGTCGTGTGTGTCGTGTGTGTCGTGTCGCGGGGTCTGCTGCAGACTTGGTGAGCGCACCGCAGCCGATTCTGACGTGGAGCAAACCCATCACGTCGGGGCCGGTGCCGGGGCCTCGCGCCGGCCACACGTCGTCGGCCGTGGGCAACCGGCTCTTCGTGTTCGGCGGCGGCAACGGCATCCGCTACCTCAACGACCTCCACCTGCTCGACGCCGGTACCATGACCGCCCGCACAACTTGCGTGTTGCGTGTCGTGTCGTGTCACTTAGCACTCCCCAATGTGTCGTCGAACAAACAGAAACGATGACGTGGTCGCAGGCCTACGTGGCTGGGACGTCGCCCGCAGCGCGATCACGACACACCGCCACCCTTGGTACCTCCTTGGCACCACTGCGCGCACCTCCTTGGCACCAGCTCGCTCACTCTTTTTGTCGCGGACTCACTATTTATATAAAAAGTGGGCACCAAGCTGGTGGTGATTGGCGGAGGCGACGACTCGCGCGTCTACAACGACGTGTACGTGCTCGACACAGGTGCGCCCGCCCCGCCCTATTTGCTTTACTTTTTCTCATCGTTTTTGTTGTTGCTTCGTGTGTGTGTGTGTGTGTGTGTGTGTGTGTGTGTGTGTGTCTCGTGTGCGGCGTGTGCGGCGTGTGCGGCGTGTGATGGAACAGTGACGATGTCGTGGACGCGGCCGATCACAAAGGGTCCCAACCCGACCGGCCGTTGGGGCCACACGGCCACGCTGATCGGGACCGACCAGCTCCTCATCTTCGGCGGACACGACGGCACGCGCATGCTCAACGACGTACACATCCTCGACACCGGTACGCTCTCGAGATGTCTTTTGGTTTGGGAAACTGAATTTGCAATTGTGCGAAATATTATTTCGTAAACGCATCAGACTTACGTTTCGTTGCGACCGCAACAGAGTCGATGGCGTGGCAACAGATCTCGCCCCATGGGCAGATTCCATGTCCTCGGGCCGGACACACCGCCACCGTACGCACTTATTTATTTATTTATATATATTTATATATATATATTTATATCATTTATTTATTTATTTATATATATTTATTTATATCATGTTGTGCTGTTTACTATTTTTTACTATTTACTTATGTACCAAAATATGGTGCAGCTGTTTTTTGAATGTTGTAGCAACACTGACTCCGAAATGGTGCGCACAGAGCGTCACCGGCAAATTGCTGGTGTTTGGCGGAGGCGACGGCTCGCGCATCCTCAACGACTTGTACGCACACGACACACGACACACGACCAACGACACGACAGGACACACAACGGCACACACTGAGTTTGGTGTCGACAGGTATGTATTCGACCCGGCGACGTTGACGTTCACGCGGCCAACGCTGCAGCACCCGGCCCACACGCCGGCCGGCCGATGTGCGCACACGGCCACCCCGCTCGACGACTCCACCCTTCTCGTCTTCGGCGGCGGCGACGGCGGCCGCCGCTTCAAGGACCTCTACCTGCTCGACGCCGGTACGCAACACGCACGCACGACACGCATGGCGCATGACACGCACGACACGCATGGCGCACGACACGCACGACACGCATGATACGCGGCACGCGACGCACGACACGCACGCGGTGCTGACGTGGGGTTGGTGAGCAGAGCAAGTGATCAAGCCGCCGAAGGAGAAGACCAAGGCCAAGTCGCCCGCGCGACGAGGCTCCGGCGGACACGCCGACGATAAGCGGAAAAACGGTATTTTGCCCCTCCCCCTCGCAGTCGCGTCTAGCCGTCGTGACCGTGGGCTTACCGCGTGTGTCGTGTCGGTATGTGTCGTGTGTCGTGTGTCGTGTCGGTGTGTGTCGTGTGTCGTGTGTCGTGTGTCGTGTGTCGTGTGTCGTGTGTCGTGTGTCGTGTGTCGTGTGTCGTGTGTCGTGTGTCGTGTGTGGTGTGTGGTGTTGCGCACAGACATCACGGTGTGGCTGAGCGGTCTGGGGCTGCGCAAGTACGTGGACAAGTTCGTGCACGAGGAGATCGACGTCGACACGCTGCCCTACCTCACCGAGGAACACCTGGAGAAGCTGGTACGCGTCATACGACAACATTAGATAAATAGTATATATATATTATTATTTATACTCTCTTCTTGTATATCTTTAAATTATTTTTGTGCGTGTTGATTTTTTTTTGTACAAAACAGTGGTGGCCGAACTGACGCGCGCTTGCGTTCTTTTCTCGCAGGGTGTGTCCACAATTGGAGCGCGACTTAAAATCCTGGCTGCCGTCGACCAACTACGCGATGGTGCGCAACATCGCACACACGATACACCGCACACACGACACGCACGACACGCAGTTATTTGATGGGGTCGTACTTCTGCAGAGCAAGCAGGGCGAGCACTGGCGGGACCGAACCGAAAGCCGAGCGATACGCTGCGCCGTTCGACGGACCTCGTTGGGGAGATGAAGCAGTCGCTCGACCTCCTGCTGGTCGCCACCTCCGCCCTCGCCCAGGCCCTCGCCACCCTCTCCTACCCCGACAAGGAAGAAGGTCCCTTGTCGTGTTCGTCGCGTGTCGTGTCGTGTCGTGTCGCTGGTCGTGTCGTGTCGTGCGGTCATGGGGTGTGCGGGGGTGTGCGTGTCGTGTCGTGTCACTGACTTGTCGGGCGTCGCAGCGTCGGGAGGCGAGTGCGACGACGAGACCGAAACCGAGTCCGACTTTGACAACTCGTTCACTCCTTCCCCCGTCGCTTCGCCCAGGTTGGCGCCCCCTCACCGACTCCTTTCTTCTGTCCACTTATCCTGACTCACGCCCGACCGCACACGCACACGCCGCACACACCCAACCGCACACACCCAACCGCACACGCAGGGACAAGGTGTCGTCTACGGCGTCGATCGCTGCGGCGTTGTCCAGCAGCGCCGCCGCCGGTGGCGGCGGGGGGCTCATCCCGACCCCGCCACCGCCACCGCCGCCCCACTTCTACGCGTCGACGACGGACCACATCAACGCGCTCAACAGCTTCTTCCGCAACCCGGGCAGCTGCCGCGGCAACACCAACACCAACCTCAGCTGCGGCAGCGCCAGCACGCAGATCATCCCCGGCGTACACCTCCACCTCCCCAACAACGCCCCCGGCGGCGGCGGTGGCGGCAAGCGGACCAACAACAGCGGCGGCGGTGGCGGCGGCGGTGCGGCGTCGACGAAGGCCAATCTCAGGCATTCGCAGGGCAAACTGCCGCAGCACACGGCCAAGCCACCCGCTGGGGGCGGCGACAGGGCGCAGGGTGGCGGGGTGGCAGGCAATGGCAACGGCGGCGGTGGCGATGCGGAGAGGAACGCGACCAAGGCGCCGTCTTGAAGAAGTCCAATGTACAACAAACAAACAGCCAAGTGGGTTTTTACATTTGTACATAAAAACCAAAACCATTTCATAGCTGTATGTGGGAGGATTTTTTTGGGCAACATGAGAGGGAGTGCAGAGGCGGTGGTGGTGGATTCCTGCAACCCTCCTTGTTCTTGTCGTTGTGCGGTGGGAAAACGAGGGCTGAGGGATGACTAAGAATCGAACTCAGGTCTCCCGCTTGGCAGTCGGGGATGCTGCCACTGCACCACCATCCCCAATCCCCAATCCCAACAGAAAAGAATGGTGATGAGAGGGATGACTAAGAATCGAACTCAGGTCTCCGGCACACTAACCAGGAATGCTGCCACTGCACTACCACCCCGAAACACAAGCCTGCCAATGGATGGAAAAGAAAGGGTTGGTTGTGAGGAATGACTAAGAATCGAACTCAGGTCACCCGCTTGACGGACAGACGGGGGTGCTGCCAACTGCACCACCATTCCGTGCGACCACCAGGCCAACTTGTTGGAATGCATGAGGAATGTCGCCTGAGCTTCAGCGAACCCAGATTGTGTCCTGTTTTTTTCCCAGTTGAGATGTCCATAAATTTACAGTACCACCGTTCGCTTTCCTCTTGTCTTGTTTTCAACTCACAGCTACACAAGGCTACCCCCTTCTTCTTCTACCTTTGTCTCACCCCTGCCCACCAGCCAAGGAGAGAGACGAGCTAGAAGAGACCAACACCACCTTCCACCATTACCCTGGAATCCATCACCCAAACGTACGTTCCTCTACACAAACGTAGCAGAACGAGAAATGATGCACACATCTCTTGCAGCATGTAGCAGTATAGACTGATGTATATTTCCTTTATACATTGTGGTGTTATGGGCGAGCAGTAAGTCAAAGGAGCACTCGGACATCTGCAGCAAATGGCCTCGAGCGATGATGAGAACGTCTCCTTCAAGAAAGCTTCGGCCGTGAGAAAGGGCGACATTGTCCTTCTCAAGGGTACACACAACTCAACACAAACCGCACACACACAACACACACACACCTACAAACAGCACACACTCATTTATTCTGGTTGTGTTGCATAGCAACCCACCCCGCCAAGGTCGTGGAGATGTCGACCTCGAAGACCGGCAAGCACGGCAGCGCCAAGTGCCACCTGATCGGCCTCGACATCTTCACCGGCAAGAAGATCGAGGCCATCTGCGGCTCCACCGACGACGTCACCTTCCCCGACCTCGACAAAGTCGACATGCTCGTACGTGTCTCGTGTGTGTGCGTGTGTGTGTCATTGTTGTGTGCGTGTGCGATGTTGTGTGCTGACGTGTGCGCACACACAAACACAAACACACGACACACAGCTGAAGGAGGTGAAGGAGGACGGCCGGCTGGTGGCGAGCGACCGTTCGGGCGAGACCTTCACCGACATCCAGATCGCGTCGGGCCAGCTGAGCGACAACCTGAAGAAGGCCCACGCCGCCGGCAAGCCGCTCACCCTGTGCGTCGTCACCTGCATGGGCAAGCGGGTGGTCACCACCTACAAGGAGCGCAAGAACGGCCGGGACTGATCTCTAGAGTCCCTCAAGGCCCTGCATCGGTGTCGTTAGACTCGAAGTGAAGGCAGAGAGAGAGACAACTTGAGGGCAACATGTGCCACCCCCTGAGCCTGGAACGACGTGAACACTTCACACAAGTGTTAGAATTGGGTGGTGCTGTCAGGCTCTCTCACTTCTTCTCCTTCTCTCTCTCTCCTCCTTCGGTCATTCCTCTCCTCTATCCCCGCACCGTGCCTGGTCTCTCCCTTCTTGCGCCCCTACAAAAAAAAACAGTTTCTTTCCAAAACCTGAGTTGGTGTACATCTGTTTGTGAATGTGTTGACACTATGGCGTGATTACACGACACCATTCAACTTTGTTTTCACTTGTCTGACGGAGACGTGTCGGCGAAGGAGTCATAGGACGAGATGTGGCGGTGCGGGGGCGAGTGAGCTTTCCGTTCCGGGGCTTTCGGCGGTAGAGTGGTAGAAAGGAAAGAGAACGAGAAGCGAAAGAAGAAAGAGAGAAAGCAAAAACAGCAAAAGACGACGCACGCGAGGAGGATGGAGCAGGAGGCGCCGTTGACGACGATGAGGAAGCGGAAAGCGCGGTCCGCGTCCTCACACGACAACAACTCCGATACTGAACAGACCCCCACCCCGCCCAACAAGCGCCCAGCGACCCGTAAGTTTTTTCTTGCTCGTTTTAATTGATTCATTTTATTTATTTTATCATAATTTTATTTTACACATAAAGGTTATACACATTTTTCTTTTTTTTAATTAAAAATAATAATTTTCCGAACTACAGAGCTGCCGGAGTTGCCTCTGGAGGTGGTCTGCACGGTGTTGGGCTGGGTCGACGTCGCGGACCTCGTGCGCGCCCAGCTCGTGTGCCGCGACTGGCACGCCCTTATCTCATCGTCTTCGTCTTCGTCTTCATCCACTTCTGCATCTTCGTCTACCTTCTCTGCCGACTTGTGGCGTCGGGTCTACTTCAACACGTGGCCCTTGTTGGGCGTGCTGACGTCATGGCCGCAGCCATCGACTCACCGAGCGCCGACGCTGGCGAGCGAGGCCCGGCTGCCGTGGAACGGAGAGCAGGAGCAGAGCGTGCGGCTCGTGGGCCATCCCGACTGGCGCGCCATCGGCCTCGAGCGCCTCCGCCTCCACACATTCGGTGCGTTCCTCCACCGCACGACACACGACACACGACACACGACACACGCTCACCGTGTGCGGTGGTGCGTGTGCGTGTGCGGCAGATGGAAGACACACGGCGGAGAACGCAGAGGCGGTGGCGCGGCTGCGGGGCAACATGTCGCGCGGCGTTGTCGGGGTGCTCGCGGCCCTGGACCCCAACACCTACTACCGCCGCATTCACATCGCCAAGACCATCGTCGACGCCGACGCCGATGGTGGCGGCGGCGGTGACGAGCTGCAGGACAAGGAGTACGCGGTCGACGCGGTCGTGTACAGCGCCACGACGGGACTGCCGCTCCACGTGGCCCTGGCCTACGCCGCGCGGGAGGACATGGGCGACGGCACGCCGGTCTTTGACGACCACCACTGCCCCTCGGTCGTCTTCTACGTCGGAGGTACACAACAACAACAACAACAGCACCGCACTCACCGCGCGCACGACACACACACACACCGCACACACCGCGACACTCACGCGCGAGTGTCGTGCGCGCACACAGTGAACCCGCGCGAGGCAGTGGTGCGGCCGGAGGATGTGGAGAGCGCGGAGGCGTTGGAGGACGCATTCGATATGCTGCGATGTGTGATGCTCAACATGGTCGAGTACCTGGTCGGGCCGGAGGCCGAGCGGCTGACGCACGTCGAGGTCCAGGACTACCTCCGCGCGCTCCTCAACACCGGCGACGCCGACTGGGTCGTCCTCCCCGAGTTCCCCGAGCCCGGCACCCGCCTGCCCCGTCCCTTTGTCGGCGCCCACTCCCTGAGCCGCGGCCCGCAGTAAAAAAAACAAAAAAACAAAAAAAACTGATGTGTGCGTGTGCGGCGTGTGCGTGTGCGGTGTTGTGTTGTGTTCCAACGTCATCGTGTTGGATGCGTGAAGTGAACAGTTGAGAGAGGGAGAAGAGAGAGTGGGTGTGGGCGAGTTAGGCCTCCTCTTCCTCGCCGGTGCCGTAGGTGGAGTTGGTCTCCGACTTGAGGCCGCTCTCGGAGTCGGCGTCAGCGGCGTCGGAGTTGACCGACTTGGCTTCGTTGTCCTCGAAACTGGCCATCGCCAGCACACCTACGGCGGGCGTGACGAAGAGACCCTGCACAAGACGAAGGAGCCCATCATAGCATCAGAAAATATGTCCGAGCGCACGACACGACACACGACACGACACGCGCGGGTGTGCACGAACCATTCCACCGCCCCAGATGGCCTTGAAGACGACGGCCGAGGGCCACCACAGGTTGATGCCGGCACCGTACTCGAGGGCCATCATCACGGCCAACGTGGCCGGAGCTTTAAAAAAACACATAACAATTATAGTAAACAAATAAATAATTGCAGAGGCGCGATAAAGGTGTGAGGACGACGAACCAAAGACGACAAACCAGATGAGGGTGAACGGGATGCCCCTGAGGACCAGAAGAATGAACTTGACGAAGTGCTTCTTCCTGTGTGGTGTCGCGGTATCATAGAGACGCACAAGTTAGTCGCGACGAAAGCAAAGAAAGTAAACTAGAAAGAAAGAAAAAAAAAACGTGTCAGTGTGGGCCACACGACACGGCGCCGTCGTACCAGTTGCCCTTGCCGGGCAGTCGGATGAGGTCCTCCATGCGCAGGAAGTAGTTGTAGAACTTGCCCTGGCGGAACTCGGGCGAGTAGAGGTTGAGCGAGCCCATCTTTCCCAGCAGCGGCACACCGACACGGAGATCCCTGTACAACAACAACAAACGTGTGAGTTCATAGAGCCTCGTGTGGTGGGTAGTATTTATTATAATTTCACGTTTAATTATGAATTATGTAAGTTGTTATTATCACTTTCTTGTTTTTCCTAATATGGGCATACTTATCATCGTTACTTATTTGTTTCGTTTTTATGTGCTGCGTACCGCATGACGAGGTTGGAGGCAATGATCCACGTGAGGATGCCCGTGAGGAGCGTTGTGATGATGATGTCGCCGCCTAATGTGTTTGGCCATTCCCACACCCTGATGTTTCCCTGTTGTACGAAAGAAACACGATGGATTGAGATTGTGCACTAATCTGGGAAATGAGTAGAAACGATTAAAGACTACAATGAATGTGCGCTATGATCATAGCGGTAGGGAACGTTGTAGGCCGAGATCGACCACAAAAGAATGAAATCTAAATTTTGTAGCGTGCACGTGCCCAAGATGGGAGCGTACTTGGTCATGATACATGAGGGCTGCGAGGCCGCCGTTGATTATGGCATCGAGCAGCGCGGCACCGATCGTCATCATGACGATCAAGTAGAGGATGTGTTTCCATGTGAATCCCATTCCTGATTTGTGGTGCCTGCCGACCGCAGATGATGATGATGACCGTCGGTAGTGCGAGCTGTCGTCTCCAACGTTGTAGTCGTCGTTGTGTTGTTGAAGAGGGAGAAGTGGTTCGGAAAGGGAAGAGTCTGAACGTTTCTTCTGCATAACAAACACAAGATCAAGTGCGGGGCGGCTTGAGGCGGTGGGGTTGGCGCGGACACAAAGGCAGCCCTCTCCCGTCGCGCTCTCGTGGAGTGGAGCTCAGACCTGGGCGCTGTCAGCTGCGGGTCCGGCGGACTCTCCACTCCATTTTCTCCTGTTCTCCGCTTCTACTGCCGACCAGGCCAGATTAATTTGTCGGTAATTCCAGAGCGCCAGTTATTTGGTGAAATTTCGGGATGGATCCACTGCAACACGATTCAAGAAGGTCCAGGATGCTGTTGATCAGATGTATGTCAAAGAAACCAAAGGAGTGACATGCTTAATGACAGTGTTTCAATGGTTGGTGATGACAGCATGGAAACGGCACACGCGTCGCCACCGCCCGCTCGAACGGGCCTGGCCTCTCGTCGCCGCCATCATCAGCCCGCGCCAAGATCTCGGCCTCGATCTAGCGGTTCACCCGCGCGCAGCTGTGGAATAGCGAGGTGGGCGACGCGGTTGCGCCGTCATCGGCGACTGCAGAGAATTGGTCGGCGGTTGAAGAACCGCAAGGCGTGCCCGTCGCCCCTGTGCGCGCGGCGGAAAGATCTTGCTTCTGCTTGGCCGAGGAAGTGAGCACCAGCCAGGGATGGTGATGACCGTCATGCACAACCAGAACCGCACAACACCACGATTTGATGACGACGATGGCAATGGTACCTCTTGCGGGAGAGGAGGTAGTGGGCGATGGGGTGATCGTCGCGTTCGGTGTGCACGCGCCAGACCCCATGGCAACGTCCCAGTCGATCCCGGCCGCCCAAGCCTCGCCACTTGCTTGCGTGCCGCTACAAACAACGAATAAAATAAATAAAAATAAATATATAAAATTAATGGTAGTGGAGGTAACTCCTGGCGGGGAACGCCGACGGCGGCAGGCGAAGGGTCCACGGGCGGCGGGGTGGCGCCCCTCAACGGCGAGCGACCGCAGCAACAGCAGACCGTCCAGGCCATTGGCGCGATTGGGCCGCATCAGCAGGTCCACCGCGCGCCTGTAATCGGCCTCGGCCTCTCGTGTCGGCCACTCCATGCTCGCAGGTCTCATGTGTCTTTCTTTTCTTTTTTTATTAATCGTCCACCTGCACCACCCCCACCAGTGATCCCAGCGCGGGCCGTGCGCCACCACCGAGCGTCATAGCTTGCCGCCAGCATTGGACGCTGCAAAAGTGGAGGCGTGCCACCACCTTGTCCAGCGACGACGACGACGACGATGACGATGCTGATGACGCCGATGTTGGCACGAAGCAGTAGGCGCGTGTCATGCGACCGTCGCCGAAGAACTTTCTCCTACAACCGAGCCGGTCGCACTGTCGCAACGAGTTGGCACTGGTCAGCCGTTCGCGCGCGTCGCACGGCACACGCGTTGCCACCGCCCGCTCGAACGGACCCGGTCGCTCGCCGTCGCCGCCGGCAGCCCGCGCCAAGATCTCGGCCTCGATCTCGCGGTTCACCCGCGCGCAGCAGATGTGGAACAGCGACGCGGGCGCCGCGTTTGCGCCGTCATCGGCGCCAATAAGTGGCGTAAAGTAGGCGGCCAGGAGGCTCTTGAGAAAGAGCCAGCCGGACGAGCCGCCCCTGTGCCCGTACTGGCGCGCGCTTTCGAAGGCCTGCAGCGCCAGCTCGGCGTCGTTCGACAGCACCTCGTGGCGTTGACCTGGCGGCGTCTCGTGTCAGCGTGTGTCGTGTGGTGTGTCGTGTGCTACGTGTGCGGCGTGAGCGTAGGGACCTGAGGTGGTGACGCCGAGTAAAAGAAGGTTGAAAAGGCGGGTGAGCGCATCGGAGGAGCCGCGGAGGGCGGCCTCGCAGTAGAGCTGGAACGCGCGCCGCACGTCCCGCGGCACGCCCTGCTGGCCGTCTGCGTGGGCGTCGGCCAGGTGGCGCATCCCCTCCGGGTCGCCCAGGTCGGCTGCGCGCTGGAAGAGCTCGGCCGCTTTGGTCGGGTCTTGCTCCGGCCCAACCGCCCACCGTCTCGCAAACCCCGCTGTCGGTGCGTGCATCAGACGATCGCAACACGAGACACACACACGACACACACACACACGACACACACACGACACATGGCACGAACCGCGGCGTCCTTCGCGGTAGAAGAGCCCCAATCTGGTCATTGCCTGCGGTTGTCCCAGCGCAACCGCTTTTTCCAGCATGCCTATTGCCTGCGTGTAGTGTGTGGTATGTAATCGTGTGTGATACGTCATCGTGTGTGTCGTGTGGTCAGGCACGTGTGCGGGTGTGGTGAAGCGATTGGTAGGAGAGGGGTTGCGGGCGAGTACGCCAGTCAACTGAGCCGGCTCATCGCAGCCGCGGAGGAAGGCCACGCCCATATCGTACTGGGCATCGATGTCGCCGGCGGCCACGGCCTTCTCGAACAGCTTCACCGCTTCCAACAGATCGATGAGCACTCCCCGCCCCCCATCATAGCAGCTGCTCCATACGCCAGTAAGCCTGTGTGCGGTGTGTGCGTGTGCGTGTGCGGTTGTGTGTGTGTGTGTGTGTGTGTGTGTTGGTGGTGGTGGTGCGCGTGTGCGTGTACACAGCGAGGGCCTTGAGGGCGAGCGGGTAGCCCAAGTCGGCTGCCCTTTGCAGGTGCGTACTCCAGGCCGGTGGCTCCTCTTCACAACTCTTGGCCACTACACCACAGGAAAATGGGCGCCAGTTAGACGTTGTAATGATGATGAGTACGAAGATGGTGTACTTGCGGGAGAGGAGGTAGTGGGCGATGGGGTGATCGTCGCGTTCGGCGTGCACGCGCCAGACCTCCATGGCAACGTCCCAGTCCATCCCGGCCGCCCAATCCTCGTCACTTGCTTGCGTGCCGCTACACAGAGAAATATATTGGTAAAAGAAAATAGAAGAAGTAAACTTTGTTTTTATACATCTCTTAAAATGATATACGTATGTATTTCTCTCTAAATATTTTTTTAACATATATTTTAAAAAAACAGGTACCTGGGGAAGCGGCGGCAGGCGCGGAGGGTCCACGAGGCGGCGGGGTGACGTCCCGCCACGGCGAGCGACCGCAGCAACAGCAGACCTTCCAGGCCATTGGCGCGATTGGGCCACTTCAGCAGGTCCACCGCGCGCCTGTAATCGGCCTCGGCCTCTCGTGTCGGCCACTCCATGCTCTCACGATGCTGTCTGATAGTAGAATAAAAAACACCAGCAAAAAGCTGCTGACGTCAGCCGGTGCTTTAAGGAAACAACAAGCTCTTTTTCTTTTCTTTTTCTCTGCGCGATCCAAGACTCTTGATTTGATCGAGCTGCCATCACCGGCAGTTGCGGGTTGAGTACCCTTTGCAAGTAATCATCAGTGGCGTCGTGCAGATCTCGACATGTCGGATTTCCCGCGCACCTTTTTCGACATCACCATCGACAACAAGCCCAGTACGCCCTCGCTTCCTTCCCTTTTTGAATTTGACATCATTTTAGACTCCATCTTCTCCTACATTGGTCATAATCGTGTAACCGAGTGAGGCCAGATCGCCTCCACTTCAATTGTTAGCTCAGATCCGCCCCAACGAATCAAATTCTACAATATTCAGAATTTTTCATCAATTTACTTCTGCATCTCATTCATCTTCTTGTTTGTGGGTGCGCTGCGTTGTGACCGTGTGCGCACCCAGTCGGCCGCGTGATCTTCGAGCTCTACACGGATGTCACGCCCAAGACGGCCGAGAACTTCCGTGCGCTGTGCACCGGCGAGAAGGGCATCAGCAAGCTCTCCGGCAAGCCCCTCCACTTGCGTGGCTCGTGCTTCCACCGCATCATCAAGGGCTTCATGATCCAGGTTCGCCTTTTCTCCCTCTCTTTCCTTCTTCTTTCCTCCTCAACATTCTTACCAACCGCGCATGTGCGTCGTGCGGTGACTACGCTCAGGGTGGTGACTTCACCAAGGGCAACGGCACGGGCGGCGAGTCGATCTACGGGCGCACGTTCAACGACGAGAACTTCAAGCGCAAGCACACCGAGCCCTTCCTGCTCTCCATGGCCAACGGTGCGTGCCCAGCCCAGCCCAGCCCAGCTCAGCCCAAGCCGCCGCCGCAGCCGCCGTTGACTGAAACTCAATTCTGTCGCCAGCCGGTCCCAACACCAACGGCTCCCAGTTCTTCATCACCACCGTGTCCACGCCCCACTTGGACGGGTAAGTCATCACTCGTATGTCGTGTGTGTGTGTCGTGTGCGTCTCTTTGACTCACCTCTGGTTGTGTGTGTGTGTTGTGCGTGTGCGTGTGCGGGATGACAGCAAGCACGTGGTGTTTGGCCGCGTGATTGCGGGTCAGGAGGTGATCAAGATCGTGGAGAACGAGCTCACCGACAAGAGCGACAAGCCCTTCTCCTACGTGTCCATCGCCAACTGCGGCGAGCTCATCAAGAAGTCCGCCGTCGGTACCTCGCGCCATCAATTTCCCATCTTTGTCGTGCGCGTGGCGTGTTGCGTGTCGTGTGCGCGTTGTGTGCGTGTCGTGTGTGTCGTCTTCTTCCACTTTTGCTCACTTGTTGTCCAATAATACAGCCAAGGCCGCGCAGAGCGGGACGGCGGCGACGGAGGGCAAGCCCGCCGACGAACAGGCCCTGGCGGAGACTTCCGCCGGCGGCGCTGCCGCCAAGAAGAAGTCCAAGAAGAAGCGCTCCCGCTCCGACTCTGAGTCAGGTACGCCCCACCCCAATGCTCCGCTGCATTGCAACCGCGCACGTGTGTGCGCACACGATCTAACTCGTGCCACACGACACGCACCACCGCACACGACACACATGCGCGCTACACTTTCAGAGTCGGCGTCGGGCTCGTCGGATTCCGAGTCGGAGAGCTCGTCGTCGTCGTCGGAGAGCGAGCGCGAGAAGCGGAGGCGCAAGAAGAAGGAGAAGAAGAGGAAGAGGAAGGAGCGAAGGCGGAGGAGGCGCGAAGAGCGAAAGCGAAAGAAGAAGAGCCGAAGGAGGAGCAGCTCCGATTCCGATTCCGAGTCCGACCACAGCTCCGACGACGACCGCGACGATGACGAGAAGAAGGCGAGGAAGCCCGACGACGACAAGAAGGAGGTGAAGGACGAGAAGCGCGATGGCGATGACGTCGACAAGAAGGACGACGACCGTATGAAGGAGGAGCCGAAGGAGGAGAAGAAGGAGAAGCGGAAGCGAGCGGACGACAGCGATGACGAGGCGGACAGGAAGGCGCGGGACAGGGACAGGAGGAGCCGGAGGAAGAGCCGGAGGAGTCGAAGCCGCAGCCGCAGCAGCAGCGACAGCGATAGCAGCAGGAGCCGCAGCCGAAGCAAGAGCAAGGAGCGCGATGCCAAGGACAAGTACGACACGACACACACACACCGCACACGACACACACGACCACGACACACCAAAAGTCGAGTGTGTTTTTCTCAACACAACGTGCTGCATGTTTGTGTGGCTGGCAGGAGTCCCGTGCCCGAACGCGACAGGAGGGACGGCGATGGCCGCAACATCAAGGGCCGCGGCGGCGTCAAATACCGCGCCCGCCACACCAAGTACGTGACACACCGCACACACACACACACACACACACACACACGTGTCGTATCGTGTGTGCGGTGCGTGTCAAATGCCAACTCACGCGCGCGTGGGCACTGCAGCCTGTACGATGAGCGCGATGGGACGGCGAGCCGCCCCTACAACCCGCGCGATCGATACAACGCGTGGGACCGCGAGAGGATCGGGCAGGACCGCGACGCCTACGACCACCGCTCCTCGGACTACGGTCGCGACCGCCGCAGCGACACCCGGAGAGGCTACAACGACCGCGACCGCGACTACCGCCGTGACGACTACCAGGATCGCTCCAGATACGGGTACGCTTGCGCGCGTGTGTGTGGTGGTGCGTGCGTGCGTGCGTGCGTGTGCGGTTGCTTACGCACGCATGGTTGTGTGCGTGTGCGTGTGTGCAGACGCGATGGCGGTGAGGCGCGCGGCTTCAGGGGCCAGCAGCAGCAGCAGCAGCAGCAGATGAGGCGCGGAGGCGGCGGGGAGAGGGAGAGCGACAGGGGCAGCATCGCCGACCTGGACGGCAACTCGCGGGACGACATCTCGGCCGCCGCCGTGTCCCGACGCGACGCCCGGGAGCGCGGGCGCGACGCCAGGAAGGGCTCTCGCTCGCCCCTCACCCCCACAGCCGCCACCACCAACGGCGATCACGACGAACCGGCGGCGGCCGACAAGGCGTCGCCTGCGCGTGAGCCACAGCAGCACCAGGAGGAGGAGGAAGATGCCCACCGCAGGAGAAGGTCGCCCTCCCCCGCCTCCCCCCTTCTCTAAACTCTTGTTCCCTTTGTTTGTTTGGCTGGAGACACGGCGGCGTAATGAATTGCTATTGTTGCGGCACCTCTGTGGATGTTCATTCGATCGGCCTCACCTTCACGTCAAAGGGAGGGTCAAACGCCGTGCTCGGAAGCACCTCGAACACGTCCGCCCGTATGAGCTGCCGCAGGCTGTCCTGGTGCTCCAGTTGCTCTCCGAGTAGGCTGCCTTCAACGGGCCACTTCAAGTCATCCGCCTGGTAGAAGGTCCGCATGCCGGCAAGAAGTTGTCTCGGATCCTGTTCCTGCCACAGGCTCTTGTGCGCCTGCTTCTGACTCGCAGTCCAGCGCTTGTCGCAGCCCCTGAATACTAGTTGTCGGCGAAATCGGCTCTGCCACTCCTGGTTGTACACGACTTGATCAACAAGGCAACATCAAAAGCGTACATAGGAAATGGGAGGCGTACGTTGCTAGGCGCAGGTTGAACTTCACCTTCACCTTCATCGACCTTCTCTTTTCCTTTCCCTTCCCCTGTGACTGGTGATTGAATCGGGAATTGTTAGATTCAGCGGGCACCAGAGGCACTGCTCCGAAGGCGTGAGCGTACGGGATGCTTCCAGTTCGTCAATCCTCTCACACACCTTGAGAAGGAACGCCTCTCTGTTGAAAATGTACACAGTTACGCGCCATTTGTTGTTCTCCGCTCCCGCTTTCTGTGCGGGACGTGCGAACCCCACCCTCACCCTCCCTTTTTCCACGGCTGACCACGCACACATGCACACAACCAACCGTAGGATGGGGTCGTGGCGGACGAAGCACTACGACAACTTCCTGGCTTAGAAGCTGGTCGAGCTTTCCCAGCTGTCCGTCAGCGCACTCCTTCGCCTGCTGCATGATGTCCTCTACTTGCTCCTGCTCAAGCAGGAAGTAGTTGGCGATGTTGTCGAGGCTAGAATCCCCAGGGTCCAGTCCTCGCACCTGGCCTCGGAGATACTTCGCAGCCCTGAAGATGTGGCGGTTTCGCTGTGGCCCCCGCTGCTTGGTCACGGAGGAGCTAGGGTTGAAGATGAAAAAAGGAGTTGCAGTCAACTGGCTGTCCTGGGGTCCTACCAGAGAAAAGTCCTCGTAGTTGAGGGCAAGGATGACGTTGAACCATTCCAAATTGCCTTGGGTATGTGTAGCTCTTCCTCCCCTTGTGTGATCTTGCCTTGGCAACATCATAGCACTGACATCATAGGCCTATGGGGTACTGGCTGGAAACGCCTATCATGTGATCCCCCTGCATGGCTGCAGCCACGTGATAAGCACAACTCAGGTGATGCAATGGTACAGGGAGATGTATCCACATGTTCCTCTCTGGTGGACCATGATTGAAGGCACAAGGATGATATCCTGTCACTGCGAGCCCAGGGGATCAAGACCCTGCGCTTCACCACTATCAAAAGCCTCACGCCAGAGGTCTTGGAAGCTTGCGCCCTGGAGCGCTAAGTCCAGCAACATGAAGGCGTCAGAGCTGATCAAAGCTGCTGCACAGGTCCTCAGCCAACTGTATTGAACTCAATCAGTATATAATTGTGACATCCATCACTGGGATAGTAAAGTGGTAGTACATTGGTTTGTGGTACCAACAACCTGGGTCCTGCACAGAACCATTGACAAGCAGCTCCAAGAAACGCCAGTTCAGCTCCATGTGGCTGCCAATATTGTCCCTTTGGATGCACTCCCAGACTGCATGACAACCTTGCCAGCTGATGTGCTCCATGATCTGGTAGTTGTGCATGATGAAAATGAAAAAGCAGTTGGGTCTCCCTTTGCATCATGTCCAGGAGGCTGCAATCAGAAGTTGTCCCACTCTCACAGTTCAATTTTTCAGTTGTCATGGCCTTCATGCAACTGGTGGGCCAAGCCCCAGGAATGTAATGAGACTGGGCCATTGGCTGCACCAAACAAATAACATGTCCTAATTGGGACATAACCTCATGGTTGGCAGTAACATTATTTTGTTGGTGATATTGTGGAAACAATCAGGTCAGCGGCGCGGGCGCGCCACGGCAGCGATGCGGGACGAGCGGCGCACGGGCAGGTCGTACTGCGGCACCATCACAGCGCGCCTCTGGGCGCGGGTCGAGTGGAAGGTTCGGTTCATGGCGTCCAGAATCTTCTGGTACTTCCGTTCGAGGCTGGCCTTCAGCTCCTTCTCGCGCGGTCCCTCCTCGTTCAGGAACTCAATCAACTCATCCACCTGCGCCACGCACGTGTTTAGCGTGTGCGACGGTGCGCGCGCGTGTGTGTTGCTAAGAAGGTGTACCTGCTCAATGGTGTCATAGTAGGCCCACGACGAGATTGCAACGCCATCGTTTTCCTGCTCGATTTCCTCTTCTTCTTCCTCTTCTTCTTCCTCCTCTTCTTCCTTCTCTTCCTCTTCCTCCTTTTCCTCCTCATCCATGTGGTCGGCCTTGCCATTCTCCTCCTTCTTCTCTTTCTTTTGCTTCTTTTTCTCGCTCTTTTCTTTCTTGGCCTCCTCCTCCTCTTCGTCTTTCTTCTTCTCTTCGTTCTTCTTGCTCTCCTTTTCTTCGTCGCCGTTTTGACGGTCCGACTTGTCCTCCTCGCCCTTGTGCTCGTCCGCCGGCTTTTCGTCGGCCTGCAGCGAAGGCGGGCGGCGAATGCCGAGCGAGTCGTAGAACGAGGCGGGCGGCGTCTCAACCCACAGGCGCGGCCCTGCGCGCACAAAGCGGGTGAGCACCCCTCTGTATGTTCTTGGCCGTGTGTCGTGTCGTGTCGTGTCGTGTCGTGTCGTGTGTCGTACCTGCAGCAGGCCAGAACCAGTAGCGGCGGTGATTCCGGTCGAAGCCCAACGGCACTGCCCGAAGCTTGGCCACCATCTTCTCCAAATTCAGCTCCTGCAATAAAATAAAACAAAACAAAACAAACCAAACCAAACATTAGACCGGAAATAAAATAATTTTAAATAAATAAATAAAGAGCGGGTACCGTTTGCTTCTTCTTCCGCTCAAAGGCCGCAGTGACCCTCTCGCGTTGCTTCTCCTCTTCCTCGTGTTCCTTCTCCTCCTTCTGCAGCTCCAGCGAGGTCTCGTAGCTCTCGTCCAGGTGTTGCCTGCATCCCTCACACGTTAACAAAAACCACCGTGTGTCGTGTGTGTCGTGTATGGCGTGTGTGGCGTGTGTGTCGTGTGCGTGTCGTGTCGTGCAGCGTGTTTGCGCGCACGCGTTGTACCTGATGGCGGCAGAGTCGAGGCACGCTCGCACGAGGAGGGCGAGGATGGCGATCTTCACGTGGGCCGATTGTGTGTGGAAGGACTCGTCCTTCATGGCGCGCAGCTTCACCCCGGGCAGGTGCACCGCCGTCGGGTCGAGCGCCTTCGACGCCTTGAGCCACTTCCAGAGCGCCACATCGTAGGTGTCTGTGTGTGACGTCACGGGGGGCAACACGAGTTTAAGGTGGCGGTTGAGGTGGACTGCAGACCTAGGTCTGAGGGTGAAGGTGGCGTACTGGTGCTCACGCGGCTGGCAGTGGGGTCATTGTGGTAGACCGCCTTGAGGAGGCGCACGATGGCCTCCTCCACGAAATCGGCCGGGTACTCGTCAATCAACGCGCTCTCAAAGTCCCCCAACGTGAACGTGCGTTGAATTCCAAGCTTTTGTCTACATGTATGGTGTGCGTGTGCGTGTGCGTGTGCGTGTGCGTTCGGGTTGTGGTGTGTGTGTGTGTGTGTGTGTGTGTGTGGAGTGCGGTGAGTGCGGTGCTCAAGCGACGATCAACTAAGAAGCGCTTCGTGCAGTACCGATAGCTGACCAGGAAGTTGAAGGCCATGAGCATGTCGCCTACGTAGCGCGGCTCGATGGTGAAGTCGCTGCAGGGCTCCGGCGGCTGGGCGTCGGCCCCCTCGAGCTCGAGGTCGTCCTTGGGACCCTCCCGCACGCGGCTCCGCTTAGCGGGCGAGGGCTCGCCCGAGTCCTTGTCCTCGTCGCCCGAGTCCTCGGCCGCGCCGTCGGTGTCCCGCTCCAGCTTGTGCCGCTCCGCGTAGCGCTCTTTGGCCTCCATCAGCGCCGCCGGCAACTCGCGCGACACGGTAAGGTTGTGCTTCCGACAAAAATCCTCTTTCTGCGTCGCGCACGACACGACACGACACACACGACACACGCGACACACGACACGTACAATACAATATGAACACCACCGGAAAGTGAAAGGCAAGCGAGAGTGATCGGCGCGCGGCACCAGCATCCACGGTGCGCCCTTGTACGGATCCTTGTAGGCCACGACCCTGACCACCTCTACACGTACGTACACGACACAACACAAGCACGCAACGCTAAGCACTCGCCGCACACGCCACTCGCCGCGCGCGCGCACACACACACACGACACACAAAGGTGGCGCGCACGTTTGATGATGGCCTTGGTGGGCGTGGTGGTCTTGCCGCTCTTGGCGGTGTCGCGGAAGTGCTTCTGCACGTGCTCGACGAGGGCCTCGAGGCCGCCCACGAACTTGTGCATGAGGAGGGCCATCTCGGTGAGCTGCTCCTCGGGGAGCTGCAGGGAGAGGTGGGTGGCGTCGGCCTCCGAGACCAGCGCCTCCTCGTAGGTGAGGCCCGTGCGCCCGGTGTAGCGGCAGGTCCACACCCGCTGCCGGTAGTGCTCCCACCGCTCTATGTACTCCCTGGCCACAAACAAAATAAAATCAAATCAAATCAAATCAAATATAAATATTTGAGGAAATAGATCCAGTCTAAAAATCAAAAATCAAAGCATAATTGATAAAAAGGAGTTCTTTTGCCCACAAATTGGACAAATTTAGGTGATTTTTGGATTTGGGGGCGGTACTCGTAGGTACGGAAGGCCTCATCAGTGAATCGGATGACCCACACTTCGTCAGTGTGCGTGAGGTCGCGCAGAGAGAGCGGATGGGGCTCGAAGGGCCTCTTCCCGAGCAACGGCATAGCAACTGCGGTAAGACAATCAAAATAGCTATTTTATTGATTTATGTTATTTAAAATAAAATAAATAAACTCCGTTTTTATTGCCGACCTCACAAGCTCTTCGCTTCAGAAGACAGCAGCTCAGGGCAGTGCTGGCTTGAGGGCCATGACGCGCACCGAGGCCGCGTACGCGTTGACGTCGAACTGCAGGAAAGGGGGTGAGTGGCCAAAATAAGTAGAAGAGGAAGGAGGGGGGATGTACCTTGGAGAGCATGTTGGTCATTTCAGTGCCGAATTCAACATCATCGCCTTTCCCCTCAGCCTTCTCTCCACAGCAGCCAGCCGACGCTGCTCCGACATCGACACATCGACACACGGCACACATCGGCACACATCCGCACACGCAGGGAGGCGTTAGGAGAAGATTTGTTCCGCCTTGCAGCAAGCGGAACAAGAGTACCTGGTGCTGGGGCACAACACGACGCCGGGGCGGGCGCGCAGCACGGGTCCGACTTGACAGCGGGCGCGCAGCACGGGTCGACCTTGGTCGCAGGAGCGCAGCACGACTCGGGCTTGGTGGCGGGCGCGCAGCACGAGTCCGGCTTGGTCGCCGGCGCGCAGCACGAGTCGGCGGGAGCGCAGCAGGAGCTCCCTGCAAAAAAGAAGAGCCGAGAGTAAGTCGATACGTGTGGGATTGACTGGGAGAGTTCTTTCGCGGGGCCAAGAGTACCCGCACTAGCCGCCGCCGCGAGGCCAGTAAGGTCCTCAGCCGCGGGCGCACAGCAATTCGGCCCTGGTGAGTGTTGTGTGGTGTGTGGTGTGTGGTGTGTGTGTGTGTGTGGTCAGACACAAGGCGCAGCATTTTGTAGGGCGCTTGGTACCGATTTCGGTGTAAGCGTTCAGGTCAGCCCCAGTGTCGACAACCACGATGTCCGAGAAGCCGGCGTCCTTGAGCTGCTGGACGTAGTCCTCGATGAGCACCGCCCCACCGATGCACCCAACGTAGGTCATCAAGTCGCTCCTGGTGGGGGGGGGGAAATGAGAGTTTGAGTTGGTCATCACGCGAGGCAGGCCCTCAGTAAGAGCTCAAGAACTCGATGAGCGCGTGAGTGCATGTCGTATACCAGAGCTCCTTGGGCAGAGGCTGCTTGAGGGCGATGTCCGAGGCGGCGAGGCGGCCGCCGGGCTTCAGGACACGGTGGATCTCCCGGAAGGCCTTCTGCTTGTCCGGCTGGACGTACACGAGAGAGAGAGAGAGGAAAGAGAGAGAGGGAACTAGTTGAGGGCCGATCAAGACAAAGCGTGGAATGCGTGACTTCGACACGTGGTCCACGTACCACGAGGTTGAGGACACAGTTGGACATCACGCAGTCGGCCGTGTTGTCGTCGATGGGAATGTTCTGTGTCCGGGTGGCTGGCCAGTCAGTGACTGTACGAACGTGTCGTGTTGTGTGTCGTGCTGTCATCACTGACGCACCTCAATCTCGCCCTTACGGAAATCGACGATGGAGGCTTTGGCGCCCATCTTGGCGGCATTCTTCATGGCCAGCGTGATCATCTACCGCCCGCCCGCCAACAGCAACACACAAGTAAGCAACTCACCTGCTACATACAAAACGCTTTACCTCTGCTCTATAGGACCCTATAGAGTAGAGGCACACACCTCTTCCGTCATATCGACTCCGATCACTGAGCCACTCTTGCCCACTGTGGTGCGCAACAGAACATCGGTCAATTAATTATCAACACGTGTGGACACCACTTGGCTTGGGCCATGGTGTAAAGCAAGCACCTTTCTGCGCAGCGAGGAAGCAGTCCAGACCACCGCCGCTACCCAAGTCGACCACCACTTCGCCCTGCAGGATCGAATCAAGCGCATTGAGCGAAATTGAGCGTAGAAAACACATCCAGTGGGGGAGCGGTACCTCCTTGAGGTTGGCGTACTTGACCGAATTGCCACATGACAGGCCCATGTTGGCCTCTTGCGGGATGGATGACAGCTCTTCTTCCTAATTTGATGGATTGAATGATGAAAGATTAACGAAATAGTGTGCTGGAGGAAAGATGTGCCAGCAGGGTGTACCGTGTAGCCAAAGGCTTGGGCGACGCGTCGTGCACCCTCCTGGTGTCCCCTGCCGCTGTCCTCCTTGGCCGCTACCGATCCATACACCCGGCTCACTGCACTCTTCACCTTCTCCATTTTCTTTTACTTGTGCTTGGGAAAAAGAAAAACAAAATGAAATAATTTCTTTTTAGAAAGCTGGGCTTGTCACTGCCAAGGGTGGGGCAACGCTGATGGTTGCAAGCACAAGCTGGACACTCTCGGGAGAGGTGCGGTTTGCCCAACCAGGGTGCGCTGGGAAACAGTGCCAGACGATCCTCCCGCCGCCTGTGTTTGGTGATAGCGGCGATTGCACCTGTCTCTGGTTGGTCAAATTGTTGTAGCGGCGCAGTAGTGCCCGATATGAAAGCAGTGGCCGGTCTGGTTCTTGCACTTGCATTGCCAACCCGCCAACATGCACATCATCACCCTCTGCATTTTCCTAGCCATCACCGTGGTGGCCTGTGCTGGCGCCCCGACCCCAGTGCGCCCAAACCTGCCAGAAACCTTCGAGTCCTCTGGCGTCGTGGCGATCAGGAACGGCACCAAAGGCTTAGTATGGGGCAACAGTGCGTACCACTCACTCTTCTCCGTAGGCGACAAAACTCACCACCGGCCGGTACAGCTTGGTATTATGTGTCGCAGCCGACCGGCAAGTCCCTTCACATCCTCACGTTCGACAACCCCGACAACAACATCTACGAGCTGCAGAGGTATGACCAGGTACCGTCACCCCTTCCCACCAGCCTGCAGGATGATGACCGCTCGCCAACTCGCTAATGAGGTGTGTGCGTGACGACAGGGCTGGACTTACACCGTCACCAACACCGGCGGCAGGCGTGTTTGCCACGCCAAACGCACGGAAGGAAAAGCGATGCCCCCGATGTGGGCCTGGGTAGAGAAGGCTTCTTTTCTCCAGGTCTACAATGACACGAATAACAATGTTTTCAATATGTGGAAGTACCAACCAAGCGGTACGGATGCCCTCGCCGAGCACCAATCACCAGCTGATTTTGTTTTTGTTCCCTCTCGTGCACGCAGCTAATGAATACCTGGAGGTTGCTGTCCCGGTGAGCCAACCCAACGTCCTGGGCTACTACTGGGCCTTCTCGCCCTTCCCTGGCCCCAGCTACACCTACCAGGCAGACCAGTTCTCGCCCACCAACCCGGCCAGCTCTCGTTTCGATGTTCCGAAGGAGTGCGGCCAACATTCCCACAAGCCAGTCAACATCAACTAACTACACTGCTGGTAACAGGCCTTGCTTTTTTTTCGAACATTACAACCTTTTAGCAAGGAGCCATTTAGCCAGGTTTGGGACCAGATTCCAATCACCCACACTAGTTTCCGCCTAGGTTGGGGAATCGATACCAGAACTAGTCCTTGAGGTTTCTGAAGGCGGAGATGTCGCTGCTGCTCAGCCACCGCTTCCACTCTGCGTCGTAGCTCGCCCTCGCCAGGAACTTCGCCTCCGTCCAGTACTCCTTGAACCCGTTCGTATGAGTATACCCGTGCGTCTCCCACCAGCCGATGGTGAATGGGTCGTCGGCGGCCTGGTCCGGCTTGCGCCGCGAGTGGTGGTAAGTGAGCGTGTAGCCCCGCATGTCCTCCGGCCACGGCTTGTCGCCGTAGGGGTCGGCGTCGTAGGTCGTCACCCGCACCCTTGCGGTGGAGCCGTCGTCGGCGGGGTTGGCTCGCGCCTGCGACTTGAACCAGGCCAGCCGGCTTGACGCCCAGCAGGCCTGGCGCGCCGTGGCCCACCGCCCGATGGCCTCCACCAGCTCCGGCGGCAGCCGCTACAGCGGGCTGGCCTCGTCGCACGCGCCGATGAGCAACAGCCGCGCCTGCGCCCACACGGCGGCCGTCAGCCTCCGCTCGTGCGCCGCCATCTCTTCGGCCTTTCGCTTGATCTCGGCCTGGATCTGGGCCTCACGCGCCTGCCGGGCTGCTTCGGCGGCCTGGGCCTCGGCGCGCTTGCGAGCCTTGTACTCGCGCGCCGCCTCGGGCGTGGGCTTCGCCGCGCCGCACCGGCGACACTTGGTGTTGCGCGCGAACTGGAGGTGGTCGCACATGGTGCACGTCCAG